ATTTTCCTTCCACCTCTTCCCACTCCCCCCCCCCCCCCCCCCCCCCCCTTAGCCTGACTTTGGGGATAATGGTTCCAGTCCAGCAAGTTCCTCTCTAAATGGCAAACACTGAGTAAGAGAATGCAAGAATGTTGTATACATGCATTAAAAGATGGGGATTTTAAAAAGTATTTAAAAATATGATAGGAATAACTATATGATACCAGTATGTCAGTATTGAGACATATATTATTGACGTGTGGGTGTAATTTCAGCCTTATTGTTTTCTCCTTAGCAGTCACAGATGGGAAGACACCCTTCAAGCAATTTTCATTGTCTGTTTACACTTAAACTCGTATCATGCAGGCATGGGAATTCATCAGACATTAATGTTAACACACAACTGGGCACAATCTTATCATAATACCTTGCAATGCGGGTGCTACATTAGATGATGCTCTGCCTCACTGCACATGAAATGATCTAACTAGAAGGTCACAGGGCTCACCGTGTCTTCTTCAATACTGCAATTTAGCTTACAAATTATCCACTACATTACTAATTCCATCAGCAGCTTAAAAATCAATGTTCATTGAACAACTGCTGGATCCTTTTCAAATTCACGACAAGTACTCAAAATGATCTGTTTTTAGACTGTAATTTTTTTTCTTGTCATTGCCTTGTATGTTTTCTTAAGTGATGGGATTTTAAGCAATGTGCAAAGATATTGAGAGTTACCACAGCTTCCTAGTAAATAAGGTATACCAATGAATCTCAAACATTTTTTGCCCATTCACATTAAAAAGTTATTGGATTTTACAATTGATCAACTTCTGATTTTCATTTTGTAATAATTTTTGATGATTTTTGGCCTTCTTATGAGATTTCATCATTCAGAAATTGTTGCAAACCTGTCATAAGGCTGGTAATTGGGATAATTTTTGAAATTCAAATAAACTGAAAGGGCTGTGGGTGATGATGAAGTTTTAATTATAGTAAACATCTGTTTGAGCTGTTTTGCATTTTATTTGTAACAATTATAAAAGAAAAACAAATGGTTGATTTTGGGTTCACATCAGTTTTCATGATTTTGATTTTGCATGATTGCCATTGACAGCAATGTACATTATCCCAGTTTTTGTGTAGATTGGTAACAATCAGTTTGTTAATTTTGTCACATGCAGCTCAAGAGATGATCATTACAAGTTTGGACTAAAGTTGAATAACATTAATTTGTCATACATCGTTAAATGCTATCATCCTGTTAATCTTATCATTTATTTATCCATCAAGCTCTCTTTGTCAATTTGTTGTGTCATTTTTCCACTTCAGTGAATGACCAATGGTGACAGAGCAAATCTGTGATGAATAGTAACACATAATTCAAACCAGAGCAACACGGCTGACTGGTAGAACTATTTCTGCTGGTAGACCGTCATTTTATACCTGCACAAAGAACTAAAATCATGGCTGCATTTTTTCCAGGTCAACTGAGTTGGGAAATTCTTTCATTTGGCTGGAAATTTCCATCTCCCAAGCAGTGGGTCCTTTTTTGTCAATGCTGACTTGATTGGGCAAGGAAATTACAAGAACTTTCTGAGAATAATCCACATTTAGTTCAGGAAAATTCAGGAAACAAGAATGAAATCAGGCAGAATTAGATCAACAGGAAAAGTCGATAATGTCCATCAGACTGTGCTTGCCTAATGAAACAGGCTCTGCCAAATAAGTTATATTAGCTAGTTGAATCTGCAGTTGACTTCAGTTTTTCTCAAAGGAGTGCAGTAATTCACCACTATAGGTGCATGGAAATATTCAACTTGTGCAAAAATACCTAATAATTAAGCAGATTTTCAAAAAAAAAAAAAAGTTTTTTGTTAACATTTTTATTGGCAAAATGGTAATTGGGAAATTATTTTTTAAAAATCTGATGTTTTTAAAACTCTGATGTCAACAACATACAATTTACTGCACATTCTTTGTGCAGCAGTTAGGGATATTTTGCATTTAAGTCACAAAAACTGAATTTCTACTGAATATTTGTTTAATGGACTTATCTGTGAGAAGGATTAAACACAGTGGACAATATTTAGAATAAGTTGTAATCAAAATGAATGCCCTTGCTTTAGAATGTCAGCCAGTATGGTTGTTAAAAATCCACGTTGGACAAGCTAGCCTGTTGCGAAGTAATGTGATGATAGTTCCAACACTTGTATAAAATGGATTAACATTGCAAATTGTTGTGAATGATATCCATTTTTTTTAATGTTAGCATGCTTTATCTGCTGGAGGTGGTTAATGCACAAGTATCTGAGTAAAGTGAGTATCCACACTGACCAATGAAAGAGGTCAGTCTAAAGTTTTATTAGCAAACAGGATAATTCAAACCTATTATTTCTTTAAAGTTTGCCCATGGTGAAGGACTTTAATCCTCTGATATTTTTAATGCTGTTTGGGGGTTTAGCGAAATTTAAACAGATTTTAATATTTTTCTTCCAGAATGCACAGTCCCACGTGCAAGAAGACACACAGTAGAAATTAAAATCCATTCCTCACCCAATTTTTGTTAGTGTCAAAATACATTAGTATTGATATTTCGGAAGAATGGATTTGTACTTTTGTTAAATTTACCAGTTTGGTCTATATCTGAACCCTTGAGCCAGAGATCTAGAAAAAGCAGGGGGCCATTTTGATTAAATGGAATTATCCATGGGAAGAAATTCAATGTATTGACTGCCTTCATTAAGTTTGAGTTTGCCATTAGCAATGAAAGTATTGAATTATTGATTTGTATATCCAAGAACAGATGTACAAGTTTTCAAATTCCCTACAGCCAAAGCTCTGATTAGACACACTGTTCCCTTAGCTTAATTTCATAGGCTTCAAATCTAATTTCTTGTCATGAATGATCAATTTTTTCAGTCTTTAATTCATTTGCCAAAGGACAAAAATGTGTGCCTTTTTTTTTCAATTTGTTCCGGCAAAATCCTGCAGCTATATTCATTAATGAGATATATAGTTTGGTTAACTCCCATGTTTTAAGGACAAAGAAAAAATGGTTCACATTGACCTAAATATGGTTGTTCAGGAACATTGAATCTTTTCTTGCGTATTTTCTTGTGACGTACAATATTGTTTGTCAATATTTTTTTTACTAAAACAAGTAAAATTTGCAGTAGACCCTACTACTTGCAAGTGCTGTCTATTCAGATAAACCCCAAAGTCACTGAAAAGTTGAAATATCATGGAATCAGTTGCACTTTTCAAGGCACTTCCTCTTTGCAGACTTCTTGTTGGACGTCATCATGTAAGTTGAGGCATCTTTTTCTCTTTGAAGATACAGAAAGAAGCTTTTCAATGTCCTTAAGCTTTCAGCAATTGATTTCTTTTTGAACTTGCCATACATTCAGAGTTAGGAACTGACTGTTTCAAAAAAACATCCAATAATAGAAGTAATTTTTCCCAATTAATAAGCATTGGTTTTTGTTAAGGGAAGTTTAATCAAATTTGAAGAGTTCCATTTTAAATTTTAAAACTCGTGATGTCTGTCCAATATTCTCTAAACAACAGTACATATGAGCAATTCTGGAACATAATCAGAATCATAATGGTCAAGTCTTTTTTTAATTAAGATCATAGTAAATTGGCCACTTCAACACTTCACAGGCAAAATACATTCTTAGTGTAGCACTTTTTTTTAATTGGTAAATCTCATAGCCGTGTGGATTACACACTTAAGAATAAATTGGGTCTCATGTCTGCAACTGGATTTGGATTTCTTTACCACACAAAGCACTTCCACAGCCCACCTCTAAAATTTACTATGATAGTACAAATATTCTAAATTAACGCAACGTCAAACAAAAATCCCAAATGAAATCAAACTCCCTAAATCAAACAATTACTTCAATTGTCAACTTCTCAATTACTACGGCTTATCCCCCAATAAACTTGCCATCTGCATGCAACATTGCATGTTGGAGGTCAGCTTAATCTTCTTATGAGAAATAATTACTGCAGCAGGTAAAACTGTCATTTGCCACAGGTGACTGGGTACAAGGTCGTCTACGTCCGGGGAACACTGCTGCATGCTGTCAGTGAAGGAGAACCGTCCTTTTGAGAAGTGGGATAGATTACAAAGACATTGTTGACCTTGTAACATAGAAGTATATTGATGAATTTTTTTTATTTAGTTGTTATGAATAACCACCACACCAGAAAATGCTTAGATGTCCATTTAGTGCTTGTCCAACCTTAATTTGCTACTGGGCAGAATACACACGCTTCTCAAGGACTCCTTACATCAGGTTCAACTTAAACCTGGAACATTAGTCTTTATATCAAATAACTGAAGAAATGATCTGAAATATCTAAGAATTTTAAAGCTCTTGCAAAAGAACCAGCCCTATGCGACTGAAATAATCAAATCTGACGATTTCCATTAGGACAATAATGATGTACTTTCAGCCATGGTTCTTATGCAAGATTATTTCTGTGATCACTCAGTTGAGGATGTACATGTTATAGCTATGAGGAAGATCTTGTTCAACTCCGATGTTCTTAATTTTGCTTGACATGATGCAATCAACATTTCCATTGTGGCATTAATATGTTTGAAAAGATCTGGTGAAAATCCTAACTTTTTGTGAAAGCAGCTAGTGGACCTTTTGGATTTAATAAATTTCTTTTCAAATTATATCTATGTTTAGGAAGAGTGAACAAATCAGGGAATGAATTGTTTAATTTACACATCCTACATTTCAAATACGTCAAACATATTTTATTAAGCATGTCCATAAATAATGCAGTTTTGTTTTATACCATATTAGTTAACGAAGCAGAAATGAATACAAATGTGCATAATAAGTCACATCCCAATCTGTTCACTGTGACAGCTGTTCAGGACTTTCATTGTATACTTCATTTACATTGAAATGAGCAGGATTCTATGTAGCTCAATTTTCATGATAATTCACATATCGATAACACGGCAACAATTAAGCCCAACAGAGTCCTGTTCATATCTTCAGAAGATTTATTCTATGATAGGTCTGACATGTAAAAGTACAAATATTGCGATACAACCAAACTACATAGGAAAGGACAATCAACAAACAGCTGATTATGTTATTGTGTATATGATTAATTAAGACTTTGGGGTTTCTCGTTACAATAACGTCATATTATGGCATCACCCTATATGCATACCTGAATAACATCAAGGGATGATATCTGAGAGATAATGATCACAAAGGACTGTGCTTTGTCAGCCTGAAGCCAGTTAACACTGGCAAGATATGGCTTATACCATCACTTTGTCTAGCCTTGCCCGACCTTTCCTAGATTTCATGTAGCTCTGCCTATGTAAATTACAACCAAGATATAGCTAAAATTTTCAATTAACATCTAATCAAGAACAAACATAGCCTTACAATAAACAGGAATTGTCAATGAATTGAACTGGAATGCTAAGAAAGTGTGAACAATTCAGAGTAAAACAACTCACTCATGCAACAAAGAGAAGAAAACTGCTAAGAGCATGAATAATATCAATAACTACAATACTCTACAAATATAATAACACTAAAATACAATGCTGAACAAAGAAAACAAATTCAACTCAGCAAATTTGGCCTTCAAACATCATAGATTCTAATTCTCAACTGTTCTACAAAGTGTAAATGGTAGATACTCAACTGGCCAAGATAAAGCAATGTTGTTTAAAACTAGGATGAACTCCCTAAAATGACGCCATACAATAATTACACAAAAATGTGCCCCACAGTTTTACCCCACCAAAATCAATTTTTCTTGTCCCCTTTCATCCAATTCGAGTATTTACCATCCAAGCTGGCCAAAGGAAAAAAATTGAAATTGAAGTTAAATGAGATTATACTAGATGAAACATTTGTTTAGCCTGCAGAGAAAGCTCACTGCCCCTTCTACTTACTGAGATCCTGATAATGTGAGAATATCCTTTCAGCTTCACACAATACAATAACTCTTTACTCTCAAATATTTTGATTATGCTTTTTATACATTTACATGATTTTGCCTTGTATATGAGAAGACTAAACTACAGTGGGTATACCTATATCAATATCATGGTACAGCCTTTAAAAGCTGAAAATACCATTATATAACAGACACAAATAGTTCATAGAATAACATGTTGGGCCCTCTTCTAGTACCCAGTTTAGTTTTAACAACAGGTGTAAGAAACATTCATGTGTAATTCATAGATTCTTTTCTCTTGCATCTCAAAAAATTCCAGTAAAACCACTGGGTATTAAAATCTGCAATATCAGTAGAAAATGTCAAATACTGGCAATTCCAGGTGTACTTGGTGACTAACATGGAAACTGCATCACTAGGTGAGACAGTTCAACTTGAAGTCGAGTATTCTTGAACAAAACTGCCTATCACACATGTGGAAAGAATTGCCCACTTTCTGCAGTAATGGACAGCTTAAGAAATTTTATCTATGTTCTACTATTCTTCACTACTATCTTTGTCCATATTTCCTGGTTTAGAGTGCAAGGTATAAATACTGTATCTAAATGCATGCACTAGCTGACAATTCACTTAAATCTGTCTAAAATGGGTGTAAATGACAATAGGAATGTTAATTTTTTGGTACATAGTTCACAAAACGACGGGAGACCAACCAATGTAGTCCGTACAGACATTCGTTCAACAACAAATAAACATCTCTCATCAACATCTTTACAATGTAACACTGTATATAGGGCAGCATATGTTGGTATCAAAAGTGGCTTTGCATCACATCAGTTCATATTTGGCATTCTTGGGTTTTTTTAATGTCTATAATATATATACAAGTCTCAACAGTTCCAACAACTTGTGCGAAATATGTACCTTACCAACGTACATATTTGTTCCATAATATGCATGTCAATGGAAGAACTAGGAAACGCTGCTACTGCTGCAGAACAAATTATTCGTTGCTTGAAACCTTCTTGCCTTATACTGCAATTCAGCACATCAGCAGCCATATCATTGGTTGCTATGGTTACAAAATTAAGTAGTCGTCCACTTTGCCAAAGGTTTGTTTGGCAAACTTGGTTCACTTCTTGGAGATAGGTGATCGTACAACAAACTATCCCTCAAAAATTACCAAGAGTTTTAATACAGGGTTACCATGGCAATGAGAACGATGGTTCCCAGAGCTTCTTTTAATAACACTTCATTACCATGGTAACCCCAAATGTGTCCATCCATCACATGCAAATTTAAAACTTCCCTACACTGGAACTGAAAATACTGAATACTACTTAATGTTATTATGCTGCTGTCACTCAGAGGCATTCTTCTGCTCTTTTCCATGTCCTGGACCCAAACATAAACTTGGTCTCACGCGAATGTTCAAGAGAGAATAAAGGAAGCAAAAGGAAAAAAAAAATTGTCAACTATTCTGCAATTACTGGGTAGAAGCAGCAAACCAAAGAAGTGTGGTGGCAGTTAGTATGTCAATACTGGTGTGGTGGTTCAACTCAATGTGGGATCAATAAATAGGAAAAGAAAATATAACAAGAAAATCAGGCAGTAATAAATGATGATGTTATAATGAATAGAATAAATAATGAAACAATATGCAAATAAGTATAAAATAATAAGTAAACAAACACAGCAACAAAAGTGTACAGACAAATAAAACTTTAATTGCCTTTGATAAGTAGGGTGTGAAAACAAAAGATTGCCACGATCCACAATTTTTTTCCGACTTGTCGGAAATAACTTAAGTATATAATACTGGGAACAGACGAAATTTTCTAATCTACTAATGTAGAATGCCTCTAGACAGCTGTCAACATGAACAACAAGTAAAACACTGTCTAAAAGTCAGACACGTCTAAGAAGGAAAGCGGGTTAATGCTGCTTGATAAAGTGTACAACATATACAAAATCCACAGATTGGATTCTAGTTAAATTAGTCCACATTACATGAACAAATAAATTACAGTTTAAATTACTCTGTCTTCACTTATATAGAACTGAGTTCATGTTGAACGTTTAAAATTTCTGCAACACAAATAAGATCTTTTACACACATAAGTAAAATGCTCGTTGATATTAAATTTTCATGTGTGGATTAAAATCCTTCAGCAGATAAATGAAGTGCCACAGTGTCCTCCTCAATACAGTGCACAGTATTCTGATCTCCATCAACAGTTTTGAGTGCTTTTTGGCATAATCCTCCCCCCCAAGGGGAATGTCAATAGTCAACAACATGACTAGTCATCAACATGTTCAAAATGAGATTCTTCTCTCTCATCAGCTAAAGCTCTGTCTTTGATTGTTCTCAGCATAAGAAATGAAATATACATTTATATATAACATATGTATATAAAGTTCTGTCCACTTACATCATTTTGGTTTTGTTAGTTTTGAAGGACACCTGCAAGATGCGATTGCCCAGTGCAAATCCGTTCAAACTTTGAATGGCCATCAAGGAATCCTCGTAGTTTGTCATGGTAACAAATCCAAATCCTTTGCACTTCTGTGACTGAAAGTCCCGTATCACTTTGACGCTCTGCACTGCCCCAAATGGCCCAAACAACTGCCACAAGGTGTTCTCCTCCGTCTCTGGAGCCAAGTTGTAGACAAAGATGCACCAGCCAGTGGGTTGGAGTGGGTTCCCAGAGATGAGAGCACTGGTGGGCGTGGTAATCAAACCAGTGGCGGCGGCAGTGCTTTCCAGTGGGGAGTACCTAATTGGGTTAAGACTGTGAATATACATATTTTTTACAATCAGGTCACTCAAGTGGAAAAAGAAAGAAAGAGTGGAACTAAAAATTTCTACCATATATATCGAAGTTCCTGAATGCTGTATTTTCATTGTCTTCTACAGCTGGATCCCTACATGAAAAACTGAACAGTGGATATTATTTGTTGACATGAAATCATCAGTTGATCTTCCAAAGCAAAACAGAAATATTTCCTGTCCCAAGATCAGACATCTTCATACTGCCCATTATGAACATCATATAGACATTTTTATAAAAATAAAGACTTTGAGCAATTATGCTCCAGGTTAATCCTCTTTTCATGATTCAAACGTAATATTACCCAAGTTGGCAATACATATTTTTCAAAAACCTCTCCAACTCTTTGCTCTCATTAAAACCATCATTTAGATTACCAACCCTACCATGCACGGTTTTTAAGAGATGTCGGTGACCCTTCCCTTACACTAAGGCAATAAAGCATCCTACTAATGGCTGATCTCGGGGAGATGACAGATTATGCTCAACATTTTCCTGGAATAAAGCTGATAGCAGCGAAGACACAGAACTAGAAGAATAGAACTACACATATCAAAATGTTCCAAATTCAATTCCGTCTCTGTTAAGTGCTTTTAGTCAACGATTCATCTGAAGCTCCACACAATGAAGTCTGTTTACAGCACAGATGCATTGTGTTTCACACAGTGTATAGCGACTAATGGAGTGGAAGACAATATTTTGAATATGAGAAGAGAAAGCTGGGCTCTGGATCAGCACCTGGCGAGGGTTGGCCAATGCCTGGCACGGCTACCCAATGATTACAGCCCAGCTTCAGACTACTATCAGCTTAATACAAATAGGGTATAATGTTACAGGGAATTCTACTGATGTCTTAATCCTACAAACCTCTGATCTTGTCTCATTAAGTACGGACGCCACAAATGTTTGTAAAGCAACAGACAAATTAATCAAATCATGGGGGATCACTTAATTTCTTTGCTCTTTAACATTAGAGTCTGTGCACAGTAAGGGTCAAATCAAAAAGACAATACCTTAAGTGCCCTAGTACTTTTAGTTTCATTTCCCCAAAAATATAATTTATCCTTTTTTTTTTTTTAAAGACAATCAGTAAGTGAGACAAATTGCAATTTAGTTATTTTGAATAATTCTAATGCATATATGACTGAGAATTTGTTTGTGCATCTATTTCTTAATTAACTTCAAAAACCTATCACATCACTGTCAGTCCTGGTCCAGATTTCTTGTTTTAGCCAAGTCACTCAGATAATTTCAACGNTCAAATCAAAAAGACAATACCTTAAGTGCCCTAGTACTTTTAGTTTCATTTCCCCAAAAATATAATTTATCCTTTTTTTTTTTTTAAGACAATCAGTAAGTGAGACAAATTGCAATTTAGTTATTTTGAATAATTCTAATGCATATATGACTGAGAATTTGTTTGTGCATCTATTTCTTAATTAAGCTTCAAAAACCTCATCACATCACTGTCAGTCCTGGTCCAGATTTCTTGTTTTAGCCAAGTCACTCAGATAATTTCAACGTTTTTTTTTTTTTTTTTTTTTTTTTTAAAGTTCATATCCTTTGAACTTCCCATAATTCACTGTCACAATTTAATCAAATCATTTGATTTAGCGTCTTGCACTTGCGTGCTTTAGGCTTATATCCAGGACTTAAAAGTTTAATTAGATGACACTGGAGTCAAAGATCCCTTAATACTGATGTGACTGGTTTAAAACTAGCAAACTGTACTCTGGACCAGCATCAAGACACAATAAAAAGCTCAAAATTTACCTGTAGCGTCCAGCTGGGTGGTGTATTGGACCCAAGAATCGTCTCGTGGGGGATGCTGTTAGGTAAGATGCCATTGTGAGCGGAATTGTGCTCTTGGTTGTGCTGCTCGGGGAATTGGCAAATTTGACCGTGATGGCCTCTGTGGAACCCTCTGGAATCTTGCCGTTTAGGTCCTTGATTGCACGTTCAGCCTCATGTCGTTGATCAAACCGGATAAAACCAACCCCTTTTGATAAGCCTAAAAAATATATATATACCTTGATGAAAACCATAAGAAAAGTTAAGCCAGACAATGAGCTATAAAGAAAACTATAAACAAAATGAACTATATAATAAATTAATTTATGAACTAATCAAGTATTAAGATCTAGTGAAAAAAAAAAAAAAAAAAGATGTACAAAAAAGACTAGTAGACAAAGTAGTCACAGAATCAGTTCCAGCATAAAACATAGCTACAGTAATATTTGAGCAGCCCAAGCAGACCCATTACGGACTTGGGTAGAAATCAATACTTGACAATCATCCCCTTAGGTTAAATTGGGAAATGACACCAAAACACTGTAAACAACATCCTTGCCCCTATGCTTAGTGTAAGTGAATTGGTCAGTCCACTAATTGTATGAGACAAGCTTGAAATAAGCACTGAAGGCTGGCTATACATAGATTTAAGGAAATATATATATATCAAACATATATGAAAACGAGTGGTAGCCTTCTCTCTGTGTAAAGGAAACACAAAGGGTTATATTTGCTATTTTATGTAAATATCTATCTCATCATTCTAATAATGCAAACTGCAGCAATACAGAGGATGTCTGAAGCATTAGTCACATTCAATATATCATATTTATAATATCAGATATTGAAAATAAAAATGTTTTTACTAGATATAAGTTAGAAAACAGTAAAAAAAAAATGCAGCAAATTAAAAAAGATACTAATATAAATAACAAATAATAAAAAAGCAGCAAGTATTAAGGAATACTTTACTGAAAAGATATTGAACTTGAACTAAGGCCAATATGAAGCCAAGTTTAAAAACATGCCAATAACTTCATCAGTAGCTTACATGGTTAGCTTATGGGGTCAGATCCCGTGGGGCATAGTAAGCACATTGCTCTGATACAAATGCCACATTATTTTTACTGGGAAAGCTTTTTAATATATAAGCAGAATGTATTTAATTCACAGTCATTATGAAATGATAAACACGGATGGAAATCTTTTTCAAAATTCTAGTGCTTAATATTCATTTCCAAACATTTTGATAACACTTTACAAAAGGACTTTATATCTACCACATATGAAAGGACAATAAATGCATTAATGGTAGACTTCAAATTTACAATATATTATGTGATCTAATGTTCTCAAGGGAGGCTTGGGATTCAGCGTGGGACTTGAGAAACAATGTTATTGCTCTTCCTTGATTACATCTGAATTACAAATACAGCGAGGGTGAAAATGAGGTCTGCACTGTGGCACTGAGGATGGCACACAACAGACCTGGCACAATCACCTTCCTATATACTTCTTAAATAGCATTAAAAATAAAATATATAAATAAATAACAAACAAACCCAAGTTTAAAATTAAGGTAACACAAGAATGGTAAGTGAACAAATAAAAAAAAGAAGAAATACAAAGCATAAGGCTCATTACATCTGAGAAAAATGCAATTAAATGATAAATTTGTATTTGAAACAAACAAACAAACAAACAAAAAAAGATAAACTCATTAAAAGAAATATGTAAGGTTTACCATCTTAGTATTTACTTGACTTAGAAAATGAATATATTGTGGCCATTGAAAAAAAAACAAATATATAAATAATGAACATCAACTTTTTATAATCACATGTTCTGTGATAAACAACCACATCTGATATGCTGTTTAAAAATAATTTGGAATTTTTTTCAAAATAGAAGGGTAAACCACACATATATATCTAAGTTATGCAGTTTCTTTAAAAGATATTTTAGGGTCCAGCAGTGAAAGAGTAGAAGCATCTCTATAAGGCAGATTAGAATCTAGTCCATCCATACAAAACTGTACATGAAATTAAAAAAAAGTTCCCCCGAAGTAAGGCTACATTTGGAACTGTCAAGCCTGCCCTCAGAGAGAGAAATACCCTTGTTGTTGAAACAGAAGACATCTACACTCTCTGAAGACAAATGCTGCTAAAGAAAACTTGAGTAAATTAATGCAAGTTAAAAAGCAACTTAAGAGAACATGACTCCCCATTTTCCTATTTAGCTGCCAGAAGTGATTGGGTCTAATGCTGGCATTTGATAGAAAGGTGAGATTCTGGAGATCTGTGCTGATAACGCTAGTTTCACTGAAATTTCTAGGAGGTTAATGTAGTGTAGGTATGCACCCGGGCATGCTTACAGTTCCAAAATTAGCTGCAGACGACGGTGACTTACTCAGAGAAAATCTTGGCAATTTTCTTGAAATAAAGGTTAGGCTAAAACAGATCTAGACTTCAAGCAATTTATTACATTTTTGGATAAAGCACAACTAAATTTGTCAGGAGAAATTAATTTGATATTTCACAAAGTATAAAAATTCACAGTGTACAATTTTGAGAACTAAAGCATAAAGAAGAGCCAATGGCCACATAATAAAATGATTTGACATTTAATCTTGAAAGGTGAAACTTTAAGCAAACATCAAATAAAATAAATTCTGAAAAACCAACTTTGATTACTCAGTAGGGATAATCAAAAATGAAAGTCTTCTGTATGCCTAGAGCAAAAATAACTCAAAAACATCTAGTAAGCCTTAACCCAACCGAAATCAAAGAAAATGGCCAAGAATGTGTCAAATGAGCTTGGAACAGCCCACTTTCACTTTCACTCTTAAAGCAGAGCACTTTAATTGTATATACCTGTCACAGGGTCTGAGAGGATTCTTGAGGTTATTATGGAACCACACCGAGAAAACAAATTTTCAAGTTCCAACTGCGTCATAGTCTTTGGTAGACCACTTATGTACAAGTTAGCCCCTTTAATACTTTCACAGCTTGGCCGAGCTACTGACACCTACAGACATGTAAAACAGCACAGGATTAAAATAAAATGGAATCAAAATCAATACTTTAAACATATGACTGTATAACAAATCAGTAAGTACAATTTAAGCAACTGAAACAGCTGTAAATATGTGGTGTGGTGTGCAGGGATGATACGACAACCAGCGGAAGTGAGCACACCTAAAAGAGAAAGATGGACAATCATCAAATAAAACTATAGCAGACTTAATAAATACAGCACATATTCCAGACAGAATAAAATAAATAATAAGTACATTTTCTAGTATGACAACAATCTTGATAATCTATTGCCATTTATTATTTTTTTATTGGAGTGGGAAAATGTCACTTTCTGATATGAATGACATAAATGTGTTTGCAAGTAATAAGTGTGGTTGTGTGGAAGTAGGATGCAAAACTTAAAAAAGATGCAATGGTACTTCAATGCAGGAGAAAGGGTAGGATGGGAATAGGACGGGTGCAGAGAAGATAACCTAAACAATATATTCAAACACATTTTAGATAAGAAAATAAAAAACACTAGGACAAAAAATTGTATTCAATTTTTCTTTAAAATGTGAGAAGCACCTCTCTGGTTCTTTTGTTCTTGCAATTTAAGGTTTTCAGAAGACAAACAAGTGTTGAAAGCAGAATTAGACTTCACCTGTCAAAAGATATTAAAGGTAAAATAAGTCAAACTTAGCAGAGTCTAAATAATACTTATAACAAAGCTTTTTCTAATAAATAATTAAGACAAATTGTTTATCAAAAATAAATTATCAATACTTTCCTTAACGATGTTGACCTATATTTGATATCTGTACATTATTTTTATAGGATTTATAACATCCAAAGGTAAGTCAACCATAATGAAAACCATACATGGATAGACATATTACATCTGTGAGCAAAAAGCAATTTATTTTGCTAGCTATGATAAACAAGTTTGTCTATACACAAATGGGACCTCAGGGCCACATATTTTCTTGGTTATTTCCTGGATTTCTCGTCTTTCATAATGTATAGAGAGATCCTGTCTGCTTGGTGAAGTGCAGCTCTGTTTCAAGCCACCCTGCCCTGTCTTGCCCTTTTTCAAACCTTCGGTGAAAGCCTTCCCGTCACATAAACTGCAAGCTACATAATTCTAATAGCATGTTCACGTTTAATCAATGGGGGGCCTAACCTTTCCAGCTCCAGTCGTAACACTCAGATATTCAGACGGAATGGACGACTGAAGCTTTTCCTACAGTAATGGACTGGAAATGAATCCTATGTCTAGTGGAGCCAAAGACTCATTATTGTGATTAATCCTTTCATTGCAAACTTCATGCATATTACTGTGTACATTACCATTGCTTTCCTACATCAAAACATTGATCTCATATCAATTGATTTTGCTGGGCTTTGTTCTATTGTGCCATTTGTTTTATCAGCGAGAGTGTTCTAGTCAATATATGGTGCTTCCCACGGCAGGTGGAAGCAGACTGGGCCTTGATCTGCCAGACATCAAGACCATGGATTTCACTTATCATTTTGATAATAAAGAAAAGAAATTAAAAAATAAGAAAAGAAATTAAAAAATAAGAAAATAAATACATAAAACAAAATGAATTAGTTGTTAGTATCTACATAATTCACAAGCTTATTTTGAACATTGGAGAACAAAAATATTAGTCATTAAACATAATGATTACCTAGTCACTTCAAAGATGGATGAAACCAATGGAGATTTCATCAAGCATACAAGTTATGAAAAAATTGATTAAGGTAAAAACAACGTAATTGCCATCTCTCCTGACATTAAAACCAATGCTTAATATTTGTCTCATGCAGCTCAATTAATACAAGTCAAATTCCCTAGATAACAGAAGCAATGGCAGCATCCATCATACCTAGAAATGACTCAGCCCGGCTGTGTCACTGTGGAACCTGATACATGGCAAGCACTGTGTGACTGTCCTGATCACAGGCCCAAGCCATTAGATCACAACACTTTTTTTCCATAACCTTGGGTAATACTTTTAATGTTAGCATATACGTTATATCAGCACACAGTGATCTGACAACACTAGGGCAGCTGTATGTTAACAAGGGGGAGAGACATTTCTTCAAGGGTTGGGGTGAGGTCAAAGAAATGGGGAACATAAGGGTAGAGGAAATTTGGAACAAGGGGAAATTGTAATGAGAGGAGAGGACAAACTGAAAGAACAGTGGGATGTTTTTTTTTTTTTTTTTAAGGGGGAGGTGAGGAGGGGGGATGGTGCAGTGCAGTGTGTAGTTGTATGTGTAATTGTTATGTTGAATTAAAATCTTTTTCTGGTCCACATCCTTATCAGCCTCATCTTCTTTGAAGATAACAAGATCATAACAAAAACTGTTTGACACAGACAGCAGTACTTGACTGAAACCAAAGAAAATTTGTTTTTCATTTTTTTCAAAATCCATGAATATATGCCTCTCAGTGTACGCCACATTCTCAAACAATATCACACTGAACTTATCACGAGAAAAGAACAGCAATCCCCATAAATAGTAACAGCAAGTCTGCTGTCTGTATCATTCAGCTTTCTGTCATGCCAAATAATTCCAACCCTCTCTCCTAAAGCAAGCTAAGAGAAGGAAACAGAACTTACCTTTATTGTTTTGTTTTGTAGCCGTAAACCATTTAGCGTGCTGATGGCTTTGTCAGCATCATCCGGACTCTTGTAATTCACAAAACCATAACCTAGACTTTGGCCTAAAAATGTTTAAGAAAGAAAATAATTACTATGTTGTTTGGTTTAAAATTATTATAAATCTATATAAATTAAACCAATATCTATAAATTCTACGTCATAAATGATGAAATCTTAACTATTCTTTTATAAATGTTTTTATTTCTAAGTTAAAATTCAATTTTTATTGAACTTTATGAGATAAAACAAAACAAGACTTTGGTATGCTATCAATCCTCGGAATCTCTAGGCCTTGAAAGGGCATTCGAATAGGAAAAAAGGTTGTATACTACAGGTAAATGTATAACCCAGTCAAAGTTAACTCTATCAGTTCCCACATACCACAGAAGTCATCAGTCACAACAACACAATCACTTGGCCGGTCAAACCAAGCACAAACCCACCTCCATGGCCATTAAATGAACACAGGAGATTAATACTAGCTGCTTTATAGGATGATTTGCTTACGAATTCTCCAAAACATTTTTCAGGAATTAGCAATCACTTGCACACTTCAAGAACAATTTACAGAGAGGCATTCATAAGAAGGTTAAAAGAAATCCCAGCTTATTCCTAAAGGCCCATACTAATCAGATCTAGTTTTAATTATTATAACATTCAACTTCTAGGATGGAAAAAAAGACCACTGAAATAAATGCTTTATTTTTAAAAAATTGCTGAAAATTTCTTCTCTAAGCATGTTTCATAAACTTGACGGTGTCACTAAATAGAAAAGAAGTGTCCATCAGAACTGGATAATAGTTGTGCACTCTTTCCTTTATAGATTTACTTTAAAAAATAAATAAGAAAAAGAAGATTGATAACAAATTAGAGGATCCATAAACCAACTGATCCATCAACCATTGCCTAATTGCAAATATATTGCCCGACTCAAACAGTAAAAAACATCTACCAGTCATCCAAGTAATGTTGCTTTATGAATATTCTTGTTTCAGAGACTTGGGAGAATCCAGGAGAGGCAGGAGATTATTATTCTGCTCAGTGTGTGTGTGTTCACTTAAGTGAGACAGCTAATTGTTCTGTAGTGCTAATGGGGTGTTACAATGGCCAAACAATTTTAAAGTGATTATCGGGGAAAACTGGCATCTGTGGCTCCTAGCAAGGTTTGGACCACCCCCCTTTAAATGAAGGGCTTACTGGCAATCAAGTGCCCCTCCCTTCTTTTGGTTCCTAATCACCACTATTCCTGTAATTAGGGGCCCCAACACCAATAGAGATTAATAATCAAATACAAGGTTTCAGCTCATTAAGAACGGTCACCTCTAGATCCAGTTGGTTGCTGACACATCTTACTTAATTTTCTGTAGTCCACCATCTGTTATAATTGGCTTTGTTCTCTGGTGTAATCAGAAAGAGTTTTGATTACCCTGTAGCCAAGTACCAGGCTGGACCAACTACATGCCTGGCAAGGAGCAGATCTCCAGCTGTGATCAGTGTGGCTGGCCAAACTCATTGAGGTAATTCTATCAAGTGGCTGTAGATTAACACACTGTCTTTATCATTAAGAAAATACACACTGTAAGTGGATACCTTTAGTATCACTCTTCTCTGCAGTTAATACAGCACTGCAGACAGAAAAACAGGAACAGTTATATTTTTTGTATATTGGGTGATGATGGTATCTATCATCATGGCACAGTTGGGAGGCCTACAATCAGTGCACCAGAACTCCACAGTTCATGCCCAAAGATTAAAACACACACACCGACTCACATGGATGCAGGATCACCTGCTCCATTCTTACTACAAGTTAAGACATCAAACACAAAGACTACGGGATCACTTTCTTTCTCACTGTAACAAAGGTAAAAAGCTCAGCGACCGTGACATCTGGTCACTGGGATCCCTGTTATCCAGCATGTGTCTATTGGACTTGACACAAAGCTACTGTTTACAATCCAAGCATGCCTTGGTTTGCTTATCCACAAACTCAATAAAGTGTGGAGAGACGGACAGACAAGAGGTGTCCCCATGGCAAGCCTGACACGTGCCGTTCAGATCGTATTACAAGGCCATTGTGAAACACTGAAATGCGACATAATAACGCTCAATTGACCAGATATGATGGCTGTATTAAATGACACGGTATTCTTAATACGGTTGGCATCATGGGAGTTGATTTACAATGCTCTCTTGGACTTTTACTGAGTGATTACAGGTAGTGAAGCTAAAAATACTGTAATTTGTTCTTTCCACTGAATCTCTGGTATTTTAAGTTTTTCAAAATTACCTTAGGTACAGGAAGCAATGAAATGTATCTTATATATAATTATTGGCGTGTTACGAGTTATTCAACTCAACCAATTTCCAATTTTCTCGTTCCCTGAGGAAATCTGACTAAGGTTTCTATAAGCTGCTAATTTTCTCCCTGTAAACCTACCTAAGCCCTCATGTGGTTAGGAAGTTCTTTTGGATGTAATCCCTATGCCCCTTTCTCAACACTTTTGCTATACAGCAAGCCGGATGGCGTAGTTAAATAAGTATAGTGTGAAATTATACACATAGCCAGGCAGTACTTAGTTTAAGTGCAGCGAAAGGAACTAAAAAATGTGACAATGACGGTTAAATTGCATTTGGGAGAAAGAACCCAATTCTCGTGACAATCATCCGCAATTAGTTTTCCTAGTACTTAATTCCACTGGGATCACGGATGCTGCTGCTTCAACTTTCTTATGTAGTTTCAGGTCAGGAGAAGCCTGCCAGAAGTGGACAAGGCACATTTCACGGATGGGCAAATGTGTGAAAATTAACTGGGAAAGAATCCCACAGGATATGTAAAAACATTCAGAAAATGAGGCAAGGGAGATAACAGAAAACTTTTTTCTTTCCAATCCACTATTCAAAATCCCCATGCTTATTCCTATAAGAATAATCAATTCAATATACTTCGATTTTGCTAATCTCTCCGAGACGGCAGAATCAACAGCTGTGGCCCAGCAGCTCGATATCTATCATTTCTGCTTGCACGCCCCCTCCCCTCTTGTCCAGTGTTATGACCACAGAAACTCTCTAAATCTGTGCTTATCAGATAAAACTCTCTGATCTCATCATACCTTATCATTGTGCAGTTGCAAGCCATTTGCAAGACTAGAACAGTTGTACAGGAATGTTGTTTGCTCAAACCTGTAAGGACCCCATTAATTGTGACTGGATACATTGATCTGTTACCAGGGTCTGCCTAATACTTGTCCTACAATGTTTGGCTAAACTTTCCACAAATTCAACATTTTTAAATAAAGCACACACAAAAAGGGTTAGGGAAAGTACACCATGGCTTTAAACAACAAGATTAAGTCTAAAAAAGTGAAGTGTTGACATTCTTACAGCTTGGGAAAATAACTACAAGAATGAAGGTTTTGGAGAGCAAACCCCAACCCCTGCCACCTCCCATCTCTAACAACAAAACACCAGCCTTCCTCCAGACTAATTCTATACTTAGGTACGTTGAATGGGTGGTCCACAAACGGGCAGGTATACCAAGGTATCTGTGCCTTATCTGCTATCACCTATGCGGAAGGTTTCAAGTGCTTCAACATGCTTTCAATGACCCGGTGTTCAAACTGAAAAATTGACTTGCGATTTTGATAAAGTGCAGAAGAATTACCAAGAGGTTAAACAAGTTGAGCCATTAGTTTCTGATAGCCCATCTAAACACCATAAAATTTTGTCATCAACACACACATCCCCTTTTAATTCACAGCAACAATTAGTATGTTTAAAAATATTACTGTTCAAGAAATACAGTGGTTAAGTACTTTACCAAGGCAGAGGATAAAGTCATAACAAAGAAATTGACTAAGTGGTTCATCCCAAAGATTTCCTCTCTTGCCTGCTCTGATGGCAAGAAATTTGATTAAGATTAACTTTAATGAAAACAATATCCCGGCATTTGGCAGAGGAAGTCTCCATAGTACTTCTGAAAGATAGATGTTTCTAAAATTACGTTTATTCTGGTCTAGAGAGGACTGCTTATCAAATTTATGGTTTTAGCGAAAAAGTCATCTACAGCAATAAATCAGACAAACAGCGGGAACCTTCATTGTGTGAAAGATAGTCATGACACATAGCAATCTTTTCCAAGAAGGCCTAGATAGGTGCTGGAATAAATTCCCTACAATAAGGACAGCTGGATATGAACAACCTTCATAAAAAACCAGCTGTATTTGGTCCTGCCAATATACATCTGAAGGTCAGGCAAGCTGCAGGTCTTTGATATTTAAGAAACCATGGTGATTACCTTGAGCTAGAAGAAAATACACATTTTTTCATTCAAACAGTGAGATTTCCCCATCTTCCAGCACTGAAGAAATTCATAAGATATTTGATCAGGTTCTAGTTATTTCTCAGACATACCCCTCTGGGACTTAACTATCATGGAACTAAGATTGAAGTATGTAAAATCATTTCAGGAGATACTAATCAGATTATTACCCACACACTCATTGAACCTATGCACATAAAATACAAAAGAAGCCTTCTGTGATGACAAGGATTTGGAAAACCAAATGCTGTTTATGAATTTATTTTACTAACCCTGAATCTAAACACAGGTAAGGTATTCTGTCCAAGGTTTTTGGCCTTCCAGCATAGATAGTCATGATCTGACAACTATAAAGACCATCAATCACTCTACAAAATTCAGACTGGCTAAATAAAGATATAGAGAAAAAACTACTGAATAAATCTGCAACCATCACAGCATTTCTTTATTCCCAGTATCTGTGTTCTATATGGCAGGGACGGAGATGATAATTGGTATGATCATTCTGCCTTGCTGGATAAGGTGGGGGGAGGGGATGGAGGATGTACACTGCCCTGCAGAGGTTGGTGTTCTACAGTTACTTGAAGATAGTTATCAAATTGATTACTAATAGAGCACATCCCTAATCCCCAGTGTCCCTTTTAAATGGGTCCTATTAGCACCTAATCACAACTTAAGCCCAATAAGTCACAGTCTAAACTGACTTTACAGTGACCAGCTTCAACAAATGACTAGTCCAATATTAAATATTTTTTAAACTGCCGTTTATTTTAGCCAAAATGAGCAAATTTTCACAATGTTTTTTTAATAACTAGATCTTACATAAATATCAAAATGGACTTAAAACATGTTAGTTCTCCAATTTCAGGAGGTTAAGCTAAGCTTAAAATTACTTTTAATGTAACAAGCCCTTGAGTAGAGCACTCTTGTTTTAAACTTCATTAAATTTACAGTGGGCTTTCTACCCTCTTAGCTGACCCAACTTGAGAAATGGCAGAAAGCCTAAAACCAAATTTTTATTCAGACCAAAAGAGTGTTTCTTTCTGACCACCCCCCCCCCCCCCCCCCCCCAATCCTATGGGCCTGCCTTGCAAATGTGATATATGCCAGACACAATTACCTGTACTTGAAACAGCTATAGATAGCTACTCATTAAATCGCACCTAGTTGATAGCCACTGATTAAGACATACTTATAATTTATAGCTAAGTCTGTAAAAACTTTCTCTGAGGATTATGAGATTTTCCATAAATCATCTTACATCATTTTGTGAAAGGTTGTTCAAGCTAGGTATGCCGCAAAACGTTGTTAAAGATTAATTCTAAACAGATGTTAAGAACGGAAAGCAGTTCCCTCAGCCAGTGTATCTGCAGCATGGATAAACACAGACATAGTGCACATACTAGCTGCTGGTGATAAATGCTTTTACCTGGAGGTTTCTGTTTAGAGACTTTGCTCACATCCTACTTTAATGATAATATATGTCTCTCTCACTTGAGCTGGACTGAAGATGCCAGCTTTAAGACAAACTTCTGAGCCCAAACTTCTTGCAATTTTCCAAGAAATTTCACAGAGATAATAATAAATGAACCAGGTTGAGTGATAAGAGCATCAAGATCTGATTTTGAAGGACACTGTAAGAGCTGACAAACCAAACAGCCAAAGTTCAATATAAAATTCAAATTTTGTGAACACAGGTTGTGGCCAATGTAATCTGATGGCTAGAATCTCACTTTTCACCCCCTTTCAATGCCTTGAATTTCCACTTCACACATCTAAAATTGGCAAAGTGCACTCAGTTATATAAACATCTGTAATGTATTCTGACGCTCAGAAAAGAAAGAAAAAATGGTGTACCCTGGGGGAAAAAATAAAGAAGCCTTTACAGCTTTCCAGTGCCAAATTTACCCAAAGTTAATACACATGGAACAACCCCTACTGAACTCCGACTTACCTGTCGTTTTGTCTCTGATAAGTTTACAACTCTCGACTTCTCCAATGCTTGAAAACAAGGATCTGATCTCTTCTTGTGTCATTGTCTGTGGTAAATAGTTGACAATCAGATTGGTTCGACTGTCATCTATGGAGCCTGTCATGATGGGGGAGTGACTGCCACTGAGGTTGCCGTTCTGTTGAACCTGTACCATATTCTGACCACCGTTCTCCATTGGTCCTTCTTGCTGTGATCCAGTAATCTGAAATGGGGAAAGAATTGTTTGGGTAAAGCTAAATTAAATTAACGTAAACAGTCTTAACATTTTTTTAATGTTTACCTCACGTCCCATATTTTCAGGTTAAACGTGATAAGCCAGAAGTTGGGTAAGAGAAGAAATATCCACGACTCCAGTAGAGAACAGTTAAGAGTGTACAAACATGCACAGGGATCCCGGCCGTTTGCGTGGTTTGAGTCATAGCTGCTGGCATGGTTTGGTAATCCGTTTTGAGAAGGTAAACTACACTCATGGAATCTCTGGGCCAGTTTAACTGAGTTGTAGGACCCACACTCGCCCCTGCTAGCCCCACATCTACACCGCTCTGCATTTTAATGCAATGTGACCATCTGCTAGTTGTAAACCAATTTACCACATTAGAGGATCTGCCAATGAGGTGCTGGCAACCAGAATTTAATGTAGCCTACCAGAAAGGAAGGTTCACCATCTGTTCCCAACAGCCACAGTAGGGTTAAAACTCTGTCTACCACCCATTGCAACCATTCTTAAACAATCCAAAGATATTGATTGGCATATTTCTGGAACTGGAGTTCCTTGCATCAGTGCATTGTGATGAGCAGCAGGGAAGCTCCTGGGGCTATGGACATTGATCTCTCACTATCAAACACAGCAAGAAATATTGGATAAGGGATTTCTTAGAGACTAGACCTATAAGACTGCTACCAAGGAGGCCTGCTCTTTTCTCACACTCCAATTATTACTGGTGCAGAAATACACTGATGTTCAATTAACTGATCAGAGTTCTGTAGCAAAGAAGATAAGAAATTCCATTTACTTTGGACATAAGACTTGGGACCTAATATGGTAATTATAACAATCTTCATTAGGAAAAACCAGCTGTACCTTCTTCTTTATATTTCCCTAGTCACATATTGCCAAATAAGAAAAAAAACCCCATCAAACCTGCACCTACAGTTCAAACTGAAATATTTCCAGAATACTCTCTTGGGTTTCTACGATGTTATTTCATTTTTTTTTTTCAATTGTAAAGGTTTTTACTAAAAAATAATAAAAAGACCTTAAAATACAACATTTGATATCACCCCATGGAGTTGAAATATTGGCTGCCTAATATGAAGAGAAATGTTAGAGAGAAGCAAGGACATTGATGTGATTCACAAGGATTCAGTCAATTTGTAACTTTACATGGCCCATCAAAACAGACTTCCAGCTAAGAGAATGTTAAGTCTTTTGGAAATCACACCCTCACGTCTCTTCAAATCAAACTCTCCCAATAGCTGGGATTTCACTCCACTGCCCACTAAATATTCTCTCGAATGACTTTCTATTTAATATAATCTGAATCTGTGGGCAATTTGGAATTTTTGAAAAATAAGAAGCAAAAGAGCCATGCAGTATTGATCAATCAATTGATCTAAAACTTCATTTTAAAGCCACCAAATCAATAGTGTTCACAAAACAACATCAGTGTGTGCTGTTATTGAATTTCTCCACCCATTCCTTTGACGTCATCTGCTTATTCTACTTCTTAATCAAACTTAATCAGGCAAATGTGAAACTGCCAGAAATGCAGTTACAGTGTTAGGCAATTTTAGTAATTGCCCTCACATCTGTGCAAGCACAATTCTTCCACTTCAACATGGAGAGTGGTCCTATTGACATCATCGGTTGAACATCTCTTCACTATTAAACTGTCATAAGAGGTGCTACATATGCTAAAATATTCACAATGGGCAGAGTTAGTTCATCAATAAAATGATTTCCTGCTGAATATGATGTCTCTTATGCTGATAGCTCTGAATGGCGACTTAACCCCATAGAACCCAGTTAATGCTGACCCATAAAGTTCTGCTGTGCCCAATTAATTCTGTGAGCTAGCCTTGAAAAGCCGGGTCACCTCAGTAAATTGGCCATAATTTGTTAGTTTGCTCTTATTACCCATACAAAGTATACATTTTTAAAAAGCCAATATTTCAAGCTAAATGAAAATAGAATTATATTTAAATTCAACATGCAGTACCAAGAGTTATGGCCGGTTAAAAAGTACATTTTCATTTGGTAATGGGTGAAATAAAACAAAGTTGATTTATCTTATGCACATTAATTTTTCATTTCTCCAAACATTTGCCTGAAAATTCACAGAGATGATGTCAATTAAAGTAACTTTCAATCCAGGAAATTTCAGCAAGTTACCTCCATTAATTTCCAAGTTATGCTCGTTTTGCTATCAGGTATACATGAGCCAGCTTTTCAGCTCACCTGAACTTCGTGGCCAGGGCTGAATAGAAGTCAAATTTTAACACCATCTATGACAAAAAACATCTATAAAACTTATATCATAAATAAAGGAATATCATCGTCACTGTCTATATCACTGTCACTCAAAAACACCTTATCAGTGTCGTAGTTTTCAATCATTTCAATACAAGTATCCATTCGCAGGCCCCTTCCGTAGTGAGAAGTCGCCATTTTGATTTTACTTTCTCCAGCTAAGTCTAGAAAATCGCCGATTTCTCGCTCATATATATTTCTATCGTCCTTTATATCATAAATAAATGAATATCATCGTCACTGACTATGTCAATGTCACACAAAAACTTCTCATAAAAGTCCGGGTTTTTAATCATTTCAATAACAGTATCCCTTCGCAGATCCCTACCGTAGCGAGGAGCCGCCATCTTGATTTTACTTTCTCCAACTACGTCTTGAAAATCGCCGTTTTCTCGCTCATATATATTTCTATCGCCTTTAAAAATGGTGGCAATGAGAGACAAGAAACATACCCGGATGTTAAACTATATATCATTTCATGACTCACGATACAAAAGAGTACAGAAGCCGGTCTTTCCCAGATACGCACATATGCGGTTCTGGGCGTTTGGGGTAAGCGATAATTGAACCGCACATATGCGGTGACGGGCTTTATGGGGTTAAGAATTATATACAGTATACCAGTTGAGTATACCAATTTTTCATCAAAAGATTTATGAGAAAAAACACAAAATGAAACAGAAGTCTGAAGATGACTAAATATGTGGATTGACATACCAGTGGAAAGACAATTACCTTAGTAGATGATGCAGATCTCATTACAGCAAACAGTCTTTACTTCTTGATAAATAATAAATAGGAGCTGCAGCAAGCTGTCAAGTAACATCTTAGACCCTCATGTAAAATGAGTTTCAGATGCAGTACAAAGCCATGATGGTATTATTATAACAATCTGCATTTCTAATTGCACAATTCAGCAATCTGCTTGTATGTAGAGAATTTCTTCGTCTATTTGTCTAATGGTCCACATACGCAATCAATACTAAAACCGACGGTTATGCAGTATTGATCTGTATGCATTAAAAGGGAAGAAAACAGCCAACAAACCTACAAAAATGCTAAGACCATTCCCTGCTTTTATTCCTCCAACTAATCTTAGGGAGACTAATTCAGTGTTATCCTTAATTAAATTCCATCTACTATAAATAATCTGAACAGCACAGCTATAAACTGTTAATGTGGATAATCAAATTATAAGCTCAATTCCACTGTAGCAGCCATCTGTGGGTCACATGCACAGAACATCTGCCTGAATCAGACACCTTCATTTTTCTTACTTCAAAGTCATTCATAGTCATAGAAAAAGAGAATCATCTGCAAGATAATCAATACTCTGCAAAAAGGATCAACTTCTTTACAGTTCTCCAAGCAATAGAAAAGCCAGTTAATTATAATTTAAGTTATGAACATGTTTGACTATGGTACTTGATATACCATACACCAAGCCATGCTTAATGGCAATTTATCTTTCTCTTCCACCTTTTGTCATTATTTAACACGTGTAATACATGATCATGGGACACTCCTTAACACCCATTACCAAACTTTACTATTTGCTAATCTAAACAAATGCTCTGTCTAGATTACATTTACCTTGAAGCAGGACCTTTAGAATCAGAGATAGGTTGGCCATCAAACAACAGTTTTGGTGCTTCAGCCCATTTGTTTATGTACCTGGGATTAGAAACATTTAGGTGCTGGATGCATAAACCTTTCACATCACATAGACATGCCCGTCTATTTCTAGGAAGATGAATACCACGAATTAAGTATGACATCATGCAGCAGTCACTTTCTATGGCACTTTCTTCAACACAAGATGCCTACTATTTTCATTTTATAAACACCACAATACAGTGCCCAACAAAAAAGTTTTTTTTCCCAGAACTGCCTCTGTCATATACATACCTATACCACTACAGACCTTCAAAAGGAAAAATGCACTGGCACCGAATCATGCTCCAGGCAGATCCTTTTCTTATTAACCTTAAAAATATTTTCGGATATCTAAAATGCCGCCTTATATATTTGTATATATGTAAATATGCATAATTTTTTACAAATGGTTTAAATTTACAGCTATTCCAATTTCCTGCTAAGCAGACCTCCCAAATGACAAAACCATATGTTTCAGGTCACAAGGTGTGAGAGGGGCATCACAACAGAATGACAGCTTAGATTAACAACTTCAAATAGACCTATACTTCCTAAAAAGGATATATTACGTTTGAAATTTCATCCAAGTACATAAAATAAGTTCCTTAAATGTTATTTTTCAGTACTTTTTCACTTTGAAATTGCAAAAATACTGCAATGAAATGCATAATCATTAATATATCAGTATATCTACCGTTATTCTATTTCCAAGCCAGCATGGAACATTTAGGCAATACAAGAACACTTAAGCAATTTAAGAGCTTTATCATAAATATGATTTACAAAAAAAAATAAATAATCTACCTCTATAAACCACAGTATCATATTCATATCCACTGTACATAACCAGCCTTAACCTTAAACATATTAACATTCAAGTTTTACTTGACAGCTTAAGTGGGTGGAAATCCACCAAGCCTAATAAATGCAACCTAGATAATCAGGAACAATAAAATGCTATTGTCATCAGCCTAGCCAAACACTTAGCTTAATTGACTTACTTGGATCACAATAATTTGGCCCTGAAGAATAATACAACATAATACTACCTACCAAAGCAAGGTTACATATGTCGGAGGCCAACTGAAGCCAGCTATGCTATGAGCTCTCCAATATTTCACTGTATGTTAATTGTCTTGGCTCTAAATAATTGATGATCTTCTGAATATTTGATATTTGCAGGCCTATATTGACATGGAGGCCTGTTATTGAATTTGTTATTTCTTGGACTATAAAGCGCTTACCGCCAATTTACAAAGAATACAAGACAGCTCACTGAAGTATACTGCACAATGGCCTTTGTGCTACCGTTGGGATATCCGAGCCACCAAATTGTTCAAGCAAGCCTGGTTTGGTTAATTTTAGACACTGGTTACACGAAGCTGTCAAACTGACGACAAACCTTGGTATTTTCATAGATAAGCATTTAACACTACACCTTTAACTGTGTTAAGACCCATTTTCAAACAAATTATGTGATATATGCATTAAGGACAGCTTAAAGGTGGGACCAACTGCATCATCAAAATGAATATTTTAAGCAACAATATTAAACACTGCCTACTATCACTGTACTAAATGGCATGCACAGTAGTCCAGACAGCCCACGATCAGAATTCTGTACAACTGAAATCAATCAATTAACACGTTTACACCTTCCACGGGCCAGAGCAGGAAATAAGCCATTGAATAGGCAATAGGGATAAGCCGTACTAAACATAAGAAATTAAATGAAAATAAATATTAAGATAACATATTCACAAATAACATAAAAACAAAAGAACTACAATACCTGCATCATGGAAACTTAAAAAGCACGTCAAAAAATAAGCCTGGCTGGCAAAGAAAGCAGTACACAATGGTGTATATGTAGCCACGTGCAGTTCGTGTGCACAGATGTGAGGAGTCTGTCAGAATGACACATAAATACAAGCCAAGGGAGCTCAAATAACCTTGCCTGCTTCTTTGTTTGAGAAGTGGAAACCCTGAATTAACCAATCAGCAGCCATCTTTTCATACCCGCCCCTTTGACAACAATCTCAGGAGGTTTAGAAATGAGCCATCATGTCAGAACAAAAGGGGGAGACAGACTGTCAGCAATTTTAAAGCATTCAGCTTAACCATGACATTGTGAGTGAAGAACAAAACTTTGAAATGCGGCAAATTTTCTATCAGTTCAATTGACCACGCTGCTTCATTTGTTTTGAGAATAGATGTAGTTTGATGACAAAACAGATCAATAAGCCCACAAATGTAAACTCCATAATGAGCCTGCCTTCTGATCGATCATGGGGCAACTTTGACCAGAGTTAGTCAATTTTCCTCTCTTTCTTTCACACGGAATAATGTTTAGACAGTAGAATGACAACTAGGACTTATGGGCAACTCTCACACCAAGTTCCCTTGCATACAGCACCAAAGAGGTTTTATTCCTCTGCAGCAGAACTATTGATCATTATTGATTATAAAGCTCTCCTTCAGCAAAAACACTATTTCTGGGATTTTGGTAATGAATACAGAAAATTGCAAATTTATCTGCGGGTTGCAGGCAGACCAGAGGAGAAGTCATCAATTTCTTTTCTTTAAATCCCAAAAGGGCCATTCAATGCCCTTGAGAACAGTCAATGAAATGTCAAAACCACGCCAACTGCCAGACCAAATGGGAAAACAATTTCCAGGAGAGTCAGGCCTACTTTTTGAAACAACAAACTGTAATTTCTGGCTGATGGCTTACATCAACTACATGATATTGTGTTTTCATTCTCTCAACATTATCTGAAATTTTCTTCATGTCCAAACTTCTCCCAAGAGCATCTGATATGGAATCTTCATTACCAACAGTCTTATGTCGGTGAGCTCCATAGGCTGTGTAGCGTGGTCTGTTATTAAAGTACTAGGTTGCTCTTGCTCAGAGTTCTCGCTGCAAAAGTTTTTCAATTTCTTGTTTATAGTGTATGAATTTGACATCATATATTTAAGTATTTAAAACTATTCATTAAACTCAATCTCAGTATGCAAAACAGACATTTTTAAATAAACCATCTTAAATCCAGTTTACCCTATCATTTAGGTAGAAAAATGTATTGTTCTTGAGGAAACAATGTAACTTCAAATTATACTGTCCCTTCAACAAATATTAAAATTAATTTAATTATTAATTACAAATGTAAAAATATCCTCAATATTTGGATTTCCTTTCTCAAAACAGATATTTGGTTTTTCAATGTAACTCCCAAACTCCCTCTATACGATTCTTTTCTTTTTTCCAACCTTGCACCTGACAATTAATTGTATAGAGCACTCAGATTAAATGTGGAAAACTACTGTGTCAGTGCACTAACCTAAGATGAGATATTAATGCTGTCAGGACAAGACAGACCTGTGTTAACAATAATGTAAATTGTTGACATGTCTGTGGATGTACTGACTTTCCACTTTGTAATAAAAATAAAAATACATTCTAGGAGAACAATTTCATTTGTCAATTTTCATATTTAGACACTATGCTGCCCAAGCTGTAGGCCTTGGCTGATTGTCCACATGTCAACCAGTGCAAAAAATTGTAGTGGCAATACTGTTAATCATATTAATGAAGGATTTGTAGCACCTACTTTCAAAATTGTAATTTACCAATCCCCACAACATAAACATAAATGGCAAAAACTACAATTTGGAGTTAAAAATTAAACATTCATTGGAGAAATTTCAAGCCTTTGGAAATGCTAAATGCACTGCTTTAAAATGTCAGTCGATACTATTTTACAAAATTATAATTTGTATCAGTTTTTCAGTAAATTAGTAATAAACAACATTCAAGACGCACTCCTATTTCATTTCAAATATTATAATTCATGAATGGATGAGATATTACAGGTATAATATACTTCCATTTGTCCGTCAGGTATAACGCACATGTTGAAGGGTGTGTGTATCCGTTTACCGCGGCACGAGCGAGCTGTCAAAACAGCGTACTGTTAACAAAAGCCGTACGAAGGCGGTCCCTCCGTCTAACAGACCCGAGTACCAATTTTTGACCACGTGAATGAAAGCACTAATCTTTTCAAATGCTGCGTGGTTTAAAACTTCACAAATATGGGTTCAATCTAAGCGACACACATCTGCCCACTTGTAACTCAATGTGACAGCAAAAAATCGAATTTTATATAATGTAACGTATACTATAATTTCTGAAAACACGTGTCAACTTACCTGTTAGAAAAATGAGCAAATTATTCCCTTAATCTAGATGCAGTAAAAACGGAACACAGGCCAATTAACTGCGACGTCAAACTGAGTCTTTTATGTTCAATTTTCTCTAATTTCGTTGCTACCGCAAGGTGACTTTTCCAGACTGCGTGTCTCGAATGCTGGACGCGAGGATTCCGGACGTCCCAGGATATACTCAGAAAAAGTCTACGTTAACAGACTAACTAAAACCCGGGTTAGGCAAATACTCACAAGAAAACTTTAAACATTAACGCCAAAAATAAGAAAAAGAAGAAAACTGCGACAAATAAATTACTTCGAAGTCCTACAACCAGAAATCAATGTTCTCGCTCCTCGTGCATGGAACCAAATAGCACAAGCACCTGCTGACCGAAGTTCATTTACTATGAATCACTCCGCACAACGAATGTTGGGCTTCCATCTTGAACAACACAAAATACGTTCAATTCGATGCAATACAGCATATTTTATTAGCAAATTGATAAACAATTAAAAATCAAAAAAGACAATGTTGCATTAATCTCATTGCAAAAGACAGAGCACTAACTCTGGCACTACCTCTCTGGGTGGAATGAAACTGCGACATGCGGTGAATTTGACACATCGGCGGGAAGATTTCTTATATATTGAGGGGCATCCGTGCGATAGGTTTCTTGCATGTCATGATAAAAGCACCCCGATTATTCTTGTTGTCCCAACGGATTTGCAAGATCGTAGCCTTTTTCTCCACTTTTTATTTTGTGCATGGCGCAAGGGCTGTCACGATCGCTGGGTCATCACCACTACTACTAGTGTAGTTAGCATTTATCTCGGGCTGGTCGCCCAACACTAGTCATTCTACGACACATGTGACATTCCCGTGAAACGTTACGTAATACAATGTGACATAGGACCCTTTCTGACTGGCTGTAAAGACAAAGGACCAAAACACTTGACATATTTGGGGAGGTAAAGCGGGCACTGGCTTATTCAACATGAGAAAATTTTTCTAATAGTGTGTTGGGCGTCAACTTGTTTCCCCTAGATCTAGGTAACTGTTTTGGGGGAAAATGGGAGAGCGAGGTAACAAACCCCACGGTGAAAAGACATGTAACCTAAGGAGAAAAATTAAATCGTTTATGGGTGTCGGAGGACGGTGGGAGGGGGGGGGGGTAACCATTCAAAAAAAGAAAATAGACCTTGCGACGCGGAGACGTTGGGGAGAGGGTCCTCTTATAGCCACCCACTCTTGCTTCCAGCATTATATATAGATGACTGACGTGGTGGGAAAAGGGGGTGGAAGACTAATTCAGTGCACCAACCCTGACCCCTATAACCATGAAAGGGGACAATAATATTTTATATTTGATAAAATTTTAGGTAACAGTTTGTCAAATTATTTCGTGAGATTCTATGAAAAAACGGAAATATATGTCGTCCTCAACATTTATATTACACCATTTTCTAACTATTATTTTCAAGTCTGAAACTCAAAATTAGTTTTTAAAATGAACGTTTTCATTTGGTTTTGCCAGAATGGATTTTTACGTACATTCTGTGTACTTTCAGTTAGTGTAAAAAAATACTGGTACGCATTTTTTCAGCAGTCGATTTTTAAATTGCAAGGGGCTTTGTATGGCATTGAGAAATTAATGCACACAAATGAAATTAAAACAAAAGCAATGGCAGGTAGAAGAGATTTTAACACTTGTCATAGAGCGCACAAGATGGGTAGGTCCCAATCCTCCTTAGTATTGTAGTTTTTTCTCAGAAAATGATTAAAAATTATTTATTACCGCCTATAGTGACACACTTCATAGACATTACCAAAAATGCTAACTTTAATATTGACTACAGTATAAAATGTGCAAAACAGCTATAAAACAGAACTGAATGTTCCATAGTCAGACTTTGTGAAATATTCTCGAGTAAGTTCGTTGGGAACAAAATGTTGGATGTTTAAAATATAGGATTGGAAGTGAATGAAAATAAAAAAAAATTCACTGAAATTTAAATACTGTCTTTTCACCAATGTTGCTGTTTCTACATTTTTGACAATTTCTGTACCTTGATAGCAAAATTAGTTTCGACGACGAATTGCAGAAGAGGTTTCATGATAGAGAACTATTGATTGTGTCAGCTGCGACTTAAAGCTAGTGACATTTATAAATAACAACCAGACACAATGACGGCGGAGGTGGCATTTGACCAAAACGTCAGAATTCAACCAAAGACAAAGGCTTCGAAATTAACATTCACAGATACCATTAAGGATTTTTTGTTGTGTTTTAATTTTTTCAACAGCGACAAGCAAGTGCGGAAAAGTGGATTTATTTATAATTCAATTATCAAGCAAACATGGAATTCAAATAATTGAAAAAAGAAATGACACGACACGAAAAGATTATTTTTATCGAGTTAAACATTACTCTTTTAACTTTATATTTACTTTTACCTCCCCAACCACCCTTACAACGCCAGCGAAGTCTTCGTATATATCTCGTTCCGCATTTTTACCAATCCTTATTTTATTGTTAATCCAACTTAGAACCAAGATGGCGGACAAGAAACCCGACTCAGGTTTGTTTATGGTTGTTAAGTGGAATTTCCTGTCAGTTTTCTCACTATACAGTTCAAATGGACAATATATATTGATGTGAAATGTTATGTTAAAGGGATTTATTTGCAATTCTGCTATGCATAATATGCACACGCTTGAAAAGACGGGAAAGGACTCTACTTGACAAATTATAAGTAACGTAATACAACTTACAAGTAAGCTCACAAGCATCTGTCTGTGCTAGATGATGTCAGTTCTGCTGTGACTATAAGAGTTCGAATCGAAATGTTTTCTATCTTTTATATGGATTTTGAAGCCTTGTCAATTGCCCTTTACTTCCAAATGAGAGAGGGAGTTTACAACTAACACTACAGCATTATGATACAGTACAACGTGAACTTGTGTCACAATCCAATCGACTGTTTTTATAGAAGTGAGCCCACAATATACGAGCAATCAATGAACACAAAATGCCGAATTTAAGTGATCTATGAATGTTTTTTTTAATATACGATAATTACCGATTGAAAATTGGGTCCTTCATATAACCAGTACAACAATGGAATAATGTCCTCAAAATTATACCTTTTTGGTCATCACATAATCAGAATTGTATTTTGAGCTTCCAATAATTATTTTGGTGTCCTTTTTGAAAATGATTTTTAACTAAATTTAATTATATTTAGCAATTATCAGTAAAATTCATGTGAGACTATTTAGGCAACATGCATATTTTGGAAGTTCATATGTACATACCGGGTATCACTTAAATGACTTTTTAAAATTCACCTGCAGATAAATAACTGGTGATGGACTGGCCCTTTAACAAAACATTGCTCTTTCAAGCATGGAGCCTATTTGTTATTATAAACCTGCCATTAATATATATTTAGGAAGTGATTCTGAAAGTGCAGATGAACCAGTGGTCGGCAATGTGAACAAGTTTGCAGTTGTACCACCAGGTTACTCAGGAAGACCTAAAAAGGGACACCTCATTTTTGATGCATGTTTTGAAAGTGGTAAGAAATTGTGTTTACCCCTTGGTATAGAATATGCACTAATGTCTAAATTTAGAATTGTTGCTTAGATAATATTGGAACTTATATGAAAAAACAGGCTTTACTGTTACTGGATCCTACCCCTACATGGTAAACACAGGGAAGTAACTTGAAACTGCAACCTGAAACATACATTTTTGCATACACGTAGCTTCATTACCAAGTTAAGCAAATGTTGGTACCTTGTCTACCATTTAAAGTTTGTGCCATAATACTTTGATTGGATCATTTTGATTAAAGATAAGGTGATTTCATCATTGATCTCATATAAAAATAATGATTTATTTAGACCAAAATTATTTATGTTATAGCTTTAAAATGTGTGTGTTTTATCTTTGTTTACTATTAGGCAACCTTGGAAGAGTGGACTTCATCACAGATTATGAATATGATCTGTTCATCAGGCCAGACACCTGTAACCCCAGGTTCAGGGTCTGGTTTAATTTCACAGTTGAAAATGTGAAGGCAGACCAGGTCAGATTGTGCAGCTAGAATGATATTGGCAACTGTACAAAAAATGAATCACACACTAGTAATGTGTGTATCTTTGGCCTTCTTCACATAGAGCTGTAAAGTTTTCTGTATTTGGACTGGTTGGGGGTATCATAAGGTGACACTTCCAGGTTACTAAGTTTTCAATTTCTCCAACTGGTCAATACTGAAAACTGTACTGCTTGCTAGGGGCCATAAAAAACCATCATTTTTAATTTTTACATAGCTAAATAAACTCCAAGTTAACACTTACGTATATCCATTATTTTATATGCATACCTATCATGAAATTGATGAATATCATTTATTTATTTATCATTTACGTCCTGTGTGACTTTTTTCTAAATATTCCAGAGAGTTATTTTCAACATAGTCAACTTTAGTAAGACTAAGTCACTGTACAGGGAAGGTATGACTCCACTGGTTAAATCTACAAGTAGGCCAAAGTGGTAAGCTTAATTCTATATGGTTTGACTAATTTTTTTTTTTTTTTTTTTTTTTTAAACAATTAAATATTCATACTTGTTAATGTAAAAATTATAATAATAAATAATAATAATTTTATAGTTTCAGAAATTCAGGTTTCCCTTTTTGAGATGTGGAATGCAGATGAAATAAAATATTATTCACCTGAGCTTTTTTAAACTTTATTCAGGGTGCGGATACCAACAAAGCATGTGTACTACTACCGCTGTCCAGACCACAGGAAAAACTATGTCATGTCCTTTGCTTTCTGCTTTGACAAAGAGACTGATGTTTACCAGTTTTCTTACTGTTATCCATATTCTTACACAAGACTACAAAATTATTTAGACAATATTGAAAAAAGAAACTTAGATTTTGTTCAGAGGGAACTAGTGGCTTTAAGTGTGGTGAGTTAAATTCCTAATTTGATGCTTTATTTTGTGCTGTTTAAAATAGTAATTTGATATGTGCTTATGAATTAACATTTGAAGTATGGTGTTTCATTGAAGTAAAGTAATTTCCTATTATATTTAACTTGTTAACAAATGCTGCTCTAAGCAAGTAGATGATTAAAAGTACAAGTAAGATTTTGTATATTATGCTTATCTTTTTCCTGAAATTATTTTCCAAGCAACAAAGAAGACTTGATCTATTGGTGATCACAAACCCAGAAAATTTGGAGCCAGAGGAGAAACAGAAGGTTGTGTTCCTGACAGCAAGAGTTCACCCTGGAGAGACTCCCGCATCTTATGTATGTCAAGGTGGGTAGACTTATCCCTGTTTCTGACTATAAAATAAAGTATGCCATGACTGAAGAAAAAATAAGTGCAATTTCAAATTTGTTTTCCAAAATAACCAAATAAACCTTACTAAAAGGAGTAATATGTATCTTTGCTGAATACTTGGTGATACATTGCTACACCTTATTTATTCTGTTGTATTATTTTATTATCAGAAGTCATATTTGAATCTTATTTCCATTTACTGAATTTTGGAGTACAAAAAGAATGTCATAGTGTCAAAATTAACATTATTTATTCTATGATCTATGCCTATAGATAATTGTACAGATATATGTAAAAAATTCAGCATTGCAGGAATGCTCTCATTTTCTATTGTTTACTCAGATTGTTCTCAAACATTTTTTTATTCATTTCAGGCATCATTGATTTTTTAATAAGCTCACATCCTATAGCAAAGATTCTTAGAGATCATCTGGTCTTCAAAATTGTACCCATGTTAAATCCTGATGGGGTTTATCTTGGAAATTACAGGTGAGCACAACATATCAGTTACTGATTTGGAATACATCTGGGTAATAAAATATAGTAGTTAAGTCCTACAAGTGGTGCAAGAAAGGATGCTTGTTGCACAACTAGCATAAAAAGAATAAAGTTTTTGTGAACTTATATATTTTTTTATGTTGTAAAAAAATAAAAAGGCTCTTAAGTTGTTCAATTCATGGAGATTAAGCAGTTATATATAACATGATTAAAGCAATAGTATACATAATGTATTCTTCACATCAGGTGTTCTCTGATGGGGTTTGATCTAAACAGGCACTGGATGGAGCCATCCCCCTGGGCACACCCCACACTGTATGCCACCAAGAACCTGCTGTTAGAGATGGACAGGAATGAGGTGAATTAGTCAAAAACCTAGTTTGCTAGTTTTTAAAAAAATTTGACAAAATTTTCTCCTCCCCTTACACATATATTTTGAAAGGCAGTTTTGACACTGATTTTTGTATGATCCAGACTGAACAAAGCCTGGGAAGCTTTTACTGAATAAAGGCAATAAAAATCCATCATATGCCTTTTCTGGTTAGATAATTCCCAGAAAAAGGCAAATTGAATTATTGCAGTAGATGTTCTACAAAACACACATCTGGTATCACCTCAACTTAATCATTCAACTGGAACCTGAATATTTTATCAGAATTTAGGTGCTGGGAGATAAAGATTTAATTTCAAAGAGTGCAGCTACAAGTATTTGTATTTTCAGGGTTTTTTAAAATATATACTGACAAGGATGTCAGTGGCAGCCAAGTTTCTTACTTATGGCAACATGAAATTTTCTTCACATGTTACATGAATCTAATATAAGTTATGGGACTGCTTTAATGTAAATCAGTGCAACAAAGATGCAAGTATGGTCTTTAGAAAGACATATATATATATATATATATATATATATATATATATATATATATATATATATATATATATATATATATATATATCAGTTACAAGACAGAGTCATGTAGAAGGAACATTATTCAGAACTGTTCATTTTAAAACTACAAGCCATCAAAAAACCTTGAAATGGCAAGACACTGAATAACAACAATCTGTCCTGATGTTATGGAGAAATTGAATTGGCCAAATGTTTTACTAACTGTAGTCTAAGGATATACTGTTGATCCCTGTGAGCAATTATATGCATAGACTTTAGGTACTATTCAGTTTGTTTGTTATCTTTTTACATAATTCATATGCATGAAGGTTTATGTCCTCACAAACACAAAAACTATATACAGTTAAAAGATAATACTTTGATGTCTTAAAACATGCAAAAAATAATTACTACAAATAGATGTATAAATAATGGTTTGTGAATTTGATAGTTTTGCTTAAACATTATAGTCCACATTTCACATTCCATTTTTCTGCTGACATCAAAATTAAACTCAAAATAAAATAAGAGCTGGTGGTCTAGGAGAAGGCTCCCAGTGAACACTTTATAGAATGAGTATAGTTGTCTTTCTAAAGGCTGGTCTTTTAAGACTATCATAAGATGCATGCAACTCACTGATGGCCCTTCTCACAGGTAATACACAATGCATATGTCTCATTGATGGCCCTGCTTTCAGATAATACACAATACAACACTCACCTAAAAATTTAAATCACTAAAGTCATCCAAAGTTTGAGAGCATGTAATACTGGTTAATATTGCGTCCTACATTGGAATAGTCAAACACATTGCCTCTAGTAAAATGTCATATCCTAGCCTTAAAGGTAAGTCCCAGATCAGTTGGTTCTTAGAGGATACACGCAGTATGTAAATTAACCTCTTTTTATGAAATCATTCAGTTGTGTGAACCCTAAAAATTGTATGTGTGGCTCTAATAGGATATATTATGTTTGACTTAAAAATGTGACAGTTTTTAGTTGCAGCTGTAGTGGCTCGAAGTATTATGAATATGACAAACAGATGTTGCCCCTGCAGGCAACTAACAGCAGCATGAAACGGTCCTATTATTTTGACTCATATCCATGATATTCCCACTTGTGACTTCCCACGTTCATTTTATATGGCAAAATGATTATACTTGATCACTCCAAAACCAATAAAACTTTCCTTTGTTACCCTTAAGCACTCACATACTTAAGTTCCATCGGGTTTTAAGTGCGCAGGCATGTGTGTGCATGTATTGTTGGATGTGTGTAAGCACATGAGAGAGAGAGAGAGGTTTGTGTTTTTCAGCATCTAATATAAGTTCTGGGCCTGCTTTGATGTAAATCAGTGCAACAAGGATGGAAGTATGGTCTGAAATAAATCATGTCCATTCAGTTATTTCCTAAGGTCATCAGTGTCACCCATCTTTTGGCTCTTTCTGTTGAGCCTCCCTATGGGACTCTATCAGATAAAACTATACACCTATCTTCTGGTGATTTATTATGTTAAGCCAAGTTTGATTGCCCTTGCAGTGTTTTATCTGATTGTCTGCAAACTTGGAGCTTATTCCTAGTGAAACTATTGTTCTACGTACCGTGTGGGTCAACCCAACTCTGGGGGGACTAGTGATAATACAGGGGCGGATTTAGGCCATCTTCTGGGTCTTCCGGAAGATGGTCAGATTTTCAAGTTTACATTGACGGGTATCTATTTTTTCTGTCAGAAGACAGTCAAAAACGGTGGATGGATTAACAAAGATAATTTGGAAGACTGTCAGACAGTTTCTCTGGATCTGCCCTTGATATATACCTACATTGGAAACAAGAGGAGGCATGTTAATCTGTTAAACTGATTGCATTCAGCAAGAGTCCCCAAGGAGTTTGATTATTTTACCTAGTACAATAGTTTCATGGGGAATGAGCCCTTATTGATGTTGCCTTATTGGGTTTTTTACTGGATGCTGGAGTTCTGATGAATTCACAGTTGCTTGCCTTTCTACTTAGATCACATTATTCATTTGCTTAAAAAAACTGTTGTAGAAACGCTGTGAAAATAAAAAGGTTCCCACCAATGTCAAAACAATGAACATGTACTAAAAGGTTCTTAACAAACAAGTACCATACACAAAAGTAGGAGAGAAATAAGTGTATAACACCTACTTATGAAGTAAGAGTTGGTTTTTGGCACAAAATTCTTCCCTTTCAATTGTTTCTGAAGTATTTTGAGGGTCTTGCCGCTTTCTCCATAGTTCTCAAAGAATTATTTATGTACTAAGGTGCCATACATGGAAATGAGGGGGAAATAGAAAATTAGTAATTTATACCATTTTACTAATACCAGGTTAGTGCACTCACACACTTTTACTTACTTGTTCCACATGGCAGTTTATCAGGCTCCACTGTTCCTGGATAAAATTTAAAATACAAAAGAATGACAAAATTGATATGAAAGTTAATTTTGTTGATATTTGGTTAAATGGATATTTTTATTTGTTTGGTTTATTGAAGAATATAAATGTTTGATCAAAAAGACTAGTTGGTCTTATGTGAATGATTTATGTTTTATTGCAGTTTGTTCATCAATTACACAATATATTGTATCTTGAAAATTAACTTGCACAATGAAATGGGTCTTTATTGCTTGATTTCAGAATGTGGAGGTTGATTTCTACATTGATATCCATGCACATTCCACTTTGATGAATGGGTTCATGTATGGCAACGTGTATGATGATTCGGGAAAATTTGAAAAACATGCAATATTCCCAAAATTGCTAGACCAAAATGCCGAAGATTTCTCATTGAACAACACTAATTTCAATAGAGACAGTGTCAAAGCAGGGACAGGTCGAAGGTGAGGACAAAACTCTCTCTCCCCCCCCCCCCCCCCCCCCCCCCCCCCCGGGCCCTCTCTCTCTTTCTCTTTTTCTTTCTCTCTCTCTCTCTCTCTCTCTCTCACGCACACACACACACACACACATGGATTATTAAAGGTATTTGTGCAGTTAAGAAATGCTGGAATTTTGAGTGACAACACTCAAAAACTGTTAATTACATAGTGTGTCATTAAGTTAATCTAGTAAATTACTTGTTTGATAATCCCTTTTGTCCCTCCCAGTGGATTATTTGAAAATTGCTTCCACCCCCCAGTGGATAATTTGATAATCCCTTTGCCCCTCCCTCAGTGGATAATTTGATAATCTTTTTGCCCCTCCCCCAGTGAAATTTTGATTGCCCCCCCCCCTTGTTGAATAATTTGATTATTCCTAAAAAGGTATTGCTACCGAAAAGATTTTATTCTAGAGTCACACCTCTTTACTTTTCATGTGGATATTTAAAGCTTAAACTAAAAGAAAAAAAAAATTAAGCAGAATTGTTTCTGACAATTACTTTTTAGGTAAATAATGACAGGTTTTTCTTTGTTGAAGTATTGTTCTTTTCATCTCTCACTTATTTTAAAATGCCCTTGTATAGAAGTAGAAAGCTAAATATGTTGTGAGAAATGACAATGAAGGTTTTATCAAGAAAAGAGGAAATAAAGAAAAAAACTGTTTCCTCCTAAGATTTATTTCTCATAGCACTCAAGGGAAATGGTACACTGTACATAGCTGTACACCCACCCTATTTATAGCATGCACATACACAAACATATGCACACACTTGCAGGCAATGAAAAAAAAAGAAAAAAAAACGACAGTGCAGTCTCATGCGGTTGACATAGTTAAATTTGAGAGCAGTTTTTTCTAGATGTCAGGACATTCAGTGATGTTAGACTATCATAATGATCAGTTTATAAAACAGCTAGTGCATTAATGCACACTGCCAGTTAAGATTTACCCAGTTTGTTCAGCATCATAAATAATCCCAAGGGGTTAAAAAAATAATGGTTAAAATATCTGGTTTCTATCCTCATATCCTATGTTACAGATCTTATCAGATCAATATTTCATTGCAAGTTTGATATAGAAATGAATAATACAGCAACTCAGGCAGGCAGTCATGGTGGCATGCAGCTGTTCACCGACCGTGTGTAATGTGCTTCAATAAGTATGTAGAAATAAAGCCTAAATGAGACCCTAAAGAGCAAAACTATTAAATTCTTTAGAATTCAGTCTGGTTCAGTTTCTCAATTTATAATAGTCCTTTAATGTATGAGAAAAGTTATATTTTCCTTTGAATATGTTGATCTAGGTAAAGATAATAGATGTGGATAAATGAATTATATTCATGGAATATTGGGGAGGAGTTTTGAAAGTAAACATCTGAACCATGGGGTACAAAAGTCTGGATCTGCTGCTACTTGTGATATTATTCCTACAAACAGTCGTATAATGATACTCCTGAAAAGTTAATGTAACCCCTTTACCAGGTCGGCTTATTAGCGCAGATATCCCTTTCAGTTGAAGTTCGAAGATTAAATATTTTTATGCACTCAAGAAGCAAATTATGCCCATTTCACCTTAACTAAACATGTCTTAGATGTTGGTAGGTAGCATAGAATTCCAACTTGCTAATGTCAACATTACAACAGCTCAGTTGAATTTTCTTCAGGTTTATTTTTCTTAGTTGGCACAAAGATATAGATGTAAGGAGCAAAGCAACAGGTTTCGTTAGGGATAAACTATAGGATAGAAACAACCCTATACCACTCTACACATTCCGGATATCTCCCCTTTGGCTTGTTTGTTATGAGGAAGTCAAATTTTAGCGCTGATTAACCTCAACCACTGTTGAAACACAGTGTTTCCAATTTCTAAACATTAAACTTATGGGAGTAATATTGCATGACTTTGATTAAAAGAGTTAAAGAAACGAGTGAAGAATGTTTCATTCCGCTGCCAAGTTTATGCATCTTGCGCATAGACACTTTTTTTCAATGTTATTTTATACTGCCGCTCCATGTACGGCAGTCTATGTATTTTTGGAAAGGGAAGAAGGGAAAGTACTGTCATTAAATAAGACTGCAACTTAGCCGGAGGGGTGGGTATAGACTGTCAGGCAAATTGCACACCTTTTATTTCGATTCTCTGACCCATAAAGGAAAGGTGATAATATATAGCCTTCAGTTCTTTTCCCTCCAAGCATTTTGCTTGCAGTCTATAGAAGATCTAGAAGCTCAAGTTCCTTTTTTTTAGATTTTTCATCACTGACATTTAGCTCAGGAACATGCGCTTTTCTTGTGTGATATAGAAAATAAATCTTGCACATAGACGTATGGCAGGCACCAGTTTAATTGGGTCTTGGAAGCTCCTGTGTGTATGATAAAGATACAGTAACTGTGTCTTGAATAAAGGTGTCAATTAGGATCTGATAACAACACCTTGAAGCCCACTAAATCACCCTGCCCCTCAACCCCATATTAATGACCATGCCTGGACAATACTCAGCTGACCAAGCCCTCTGGCCCCCATGGTCATATGTATATATTGTGCCCCTTGAGGAGGATATGATAAAGGTTGCGTGTAGTAATTACAGTGCATGGTTTTTATGTAGAGTGTAAAAGCTAGCTCTGCTTGCTCATCAGTGCATGGAACAATTTTCTGACTTCTTTAAGCAGAGTATTGACTTAAAACGATGACAATACACAGTTAAATATTATCTTAACAACAACAACAGTCTTTCCCCCTGCATACTACCTTACTAACAGCTGAGTCAGAACAAAGTTCTATCAAACTGAGTGGCTCGAAACATTTCATTTTGATTAAATTGTAGCTTTAATTGCCAGGGAGGGAAAATCTTTGCCTTACATTTGCCTCAACAGCATGCAGTTTAACTGAGTGAGGCTGACACAGTTTGACACTTGAAAAAACACTTGCAGGATGTGATTTATTGTAGGGAGGGCAGAAGTTACCACTGATGTGTTTATCTTCACATCTTGAGTCACTTGAATTTCTAATATTTTTGGGGGCTGTAGTGTGTCTGACATACCTGTACTGTTTTTCTTTAATAATCACATTATAGACAGAAATAGAGCGTATATCAAAAGCTTACCTTTAATGTTTGGTACTTGAGTTGATCCTGGAGCAAGAAGTTTCCCGTAGTAGGTAATCCACATGTTGTGGTGTGGAGAGCCACACAGTGGAGAAGTCATTGCACACAGACAGGTAGCAAGGCCAGCAGTGATGTTTGGAGTGGACAAAGAAAGGACAAAAAGGAAAACAAAAGCGAACTTAAAATGTATATAAATGTATTAACAAAAATAATAACTCATTTACACAGTGATCAACTGAGCACTTTCTGCACATGGATACAACTAATACCTAACATTCACTGTCTACAGCATTCACGTGTCTAACTGAGACTAGATTATCAGCTAACTTAGTGGTAAGTACGCATTACAAAAATGCCAGTAACATACATCTAAGTAAATAAGTGAGAACTGTGATTTAAAAACTGAAACTAAAGCATGACTACATACATAAAACCAAAAATAAACAACCAAAGATTACCTTAATGAAGAAGCTTTTCACTTTGGGCATGGTGGGAGACGAGAAGTGGAGAAAACAAAACTAAAACGGAACAGAAAAAAGCAGCTGTAAAAAAAACAATACACCACACAACTAACTAGTCTGCCAACCCATGCAAATGTTCTCATAAAACGTTCACTGTCTTGCTCCAGGCTTTCACTCTACAAGTGGCACTACCTGTGTGTGAGACTGTCAAACCTGACCGTACTGCTTTCCTATTGGCTGATCCAGTCTCCGTGACCTCCGGCCATTCATGTGTTTACACTGGGTCAACCAGCTAAAGCAACTTCTAAACAACGGCACTGTTACTTTTTATGATCTCTCAAAGGGGATTTAAGCTCTTTACCTGAGACTAGAATGTTGTTCTTGGGTTTTCCTTCTCCTGTTTTCATATCTTATGCCTCAATTCACAAGCATGTCAGCTTCTTTGTGGGTAATTACCAAATGAGTAGGGGGAAAGTATGTTTTGGTTTCAATGGCCAGGGCTGTGGTGAATCTTTGATGTTCTTACACACAATGCTGCACACTCTGAATTCTATTAGTCATGATTCATTTTTCCTGTAATGAAGGCATATGATGCTTATTTAAACCTACACAGAGAAATGAGGATGTACTGCTGTATAAGTACTGTGTATAATTACCTGTCTAAATTGAGTGTCAGCACATTCAGGTATGGGCAGGCGGCAGAATGAAAGCATTCAGGTCCACAATAGCTGTAAGTAGAAGTTCTGATATTGAGGTTTATCTTAAAGACATAAATATTGTATGATAACAGAAGAAAATTCTACAGAGGAAAATAAAGAGTTCACCGATTAAGTACTTAAATACTCACATCATCATACCAGACCTTTCTGTATCACTTTTACTATGAACCAAGGTGAAACTTCTGTTTCCATTTCAAAATACAGACCTTTTGTGTTCATAATATTATGGTTAAATGCTAGGTATGTCATGATATCCCCAGTACATATTACTCAGTCTTTACAGTTGAAACCACAGAATGATGCATACATTATTAATAAGACACCTGGCTTCTGAATGCATTAACTTCTAGTTGATAACTGTCATGTTAAGATATAGTTTAAAAGTCACTCTCTCTTTATCATTACCACATCTATTTTTTGATGTTGGAGTTATCTGCTTTAAGCCCAAGCCCCAAAACCCTACGCCTTATACAATAAAACATAAATAATCTTACCTTAAGTGTCATCTTGTAAAAGGCAAGATATGTATGTATATTACCCGTGCTTATCTGCCTGTGTAATAACTGCTTTCTCAATCAGGTAAGGACACCAGTAGTGTTTTTTTTATATCTAAATGTCTTCCTCTTCCCCTTTCTCTTAGTCTATCAGTCCCAGTGTGTGAATGTTTAGGCCACTGGTATCATGTTAGTCATAAGTGATTTATATGTGTATCTCTGTATATACACAACAGAGCTCTGATGTTTCAAGCTGTTACTATGGTATGAGAAACTGTTTGCTGAAAAGAGGGACAGATTTTTCAAGCATCTTTAAAAAAAAACTTTACCCAACTTGCTTTTTTAAGTGATTAATCTGTAGTAACTATCTTCTTTAGATGAAAAAATTGTTTACACAGTATTTTAGGTCAAGCTATCAGGAATTGTATAAGAAAAATAAAAATAAAAAAAAGAAATTGATATTATCCTATATTGAAACCAAATGTTTTATGTATGAACCAACATGCTATATTTTTTCTGATATTAGGGCAGATAGTTTTGTATTGTTTTAACCTTTTATGAGACCACTTGGTAGGATTTAAATGATTAATATCAGATTCTATATATCAGATAAATGTCAGGGCTCATTTTTTTTATAAATGAATAAATGAATGAATGTAATGCAAGTCTAGTGTTGTGTGTAATACAGCTCATGTCACATTTCAGTGATTTCATCAGACGGTAATTTTATGAGACATTTGTATGGCTGTGGTTGAGGTTTGTATCCCACCTTCAATCAAGTGGCTTTCATTTCCTCACTGGCTGATTGTCTTGTTGTTTTAGCCTGGAAGTCAAAGTGCAGGAGAGGTGCAGTGTCCAATGTCTTAGTCAATGGAGCAGTTGTCTGCTTGTATTGGCTGTCAGTAGGGGAAAATGCTGTTTTTCTTTTCTATTCTTTTTTTAATAACTAGCAACAATAGAAATTATTCCTGACTTTTGTCACAAAAGTGCAGGGATAACTGTTCTCTGTCAGGTATGGAGTTAAGAAAAAAAGCCTAGAACACAGTGATACAACTGTGCTTATTGCTGGTCAACCCATCTTCTTCATTACCCTCCCAATACTAAATATTAGTGTAAACCAAATCAATGGCAAGTGTTTGTTTTTATCACTGACTCAGGTCTTTGCCTTAGTTCTTGTCAAAACCAATTATAAAATAAAAGGATTTTTAATAATACAATCCTGACTTCACTTTCCTTCCTCTACCAATTCCCAGTCTAACATCTAACATCTGTTAGTTAACCACTGCAATGAGTACAAATATAGATGTGAAAACATAACAAAAAGATACACATGAAATTTCTTAGAGCAAAAAGTCTTACCATTTGTCTTTGTTCTTATATTGCTTGTCTCATTTTACTTCCACAAACCTTAGTATAGCAGTCTTGGCCTTTTTAACTTGACAGAATCAAGTACTCAAGTAGCTGGCCATACGAGTGGGCGGAGGAACTGTTGAGAATGCTTGTGGTAGCATGTAAACTAAATGGTGTAATGTTCTGTGGGTGGTGTTTTCTCTCATGCTCTGAGTATAAACTGCTGGCTTTTAAGTTGTGCAAAGTTATAAAACAACCTGTTAGCCATTCCCTGCCATTATTTCACCAGCATGCATATATATATATAGCTTTCATTTCAACCAGACAACAACTGTACTTTGGAAGGATTTATCAATTAAATGCATTATGAGTTGTCATATTATAATCATGCTTTTTCATGTTAAGTCTGTTGTCTTATTTCCCATAACTCTTTTCTGATCATTGATAAATTGATTTTCTGACAGATACATTTATATTTCTATTTCATTTATATTTATATTTCAAAATTTTGTCAGAAATATAATAGGATTTCTCCTCCACACTGCCTATTCCAATGCTGCCATTTTTCCACAGGATTGACTATTATTGACATAATACCACAAGAAATGGAAAATGCATCTCCTCAACAGTATATTGTACAAACAATCAATATTTTAATCAGTCCACATAACAAACATACCATCATCCATTGCCATTGTGATTCTGAGTATATTTGTATCATTAATCTAAAGGTAAAAAAATAAATGAATAAAACTAAGTATATGTCTCCAGTTGTACAGGTATTGAAAATTTTATTTTAACATTTATTTTTAAAGTGAGTCTGTATTTTTAAGTATGATTAGTTACTAGTATCATGGAGTCTTAACATAAAGTCATATGTTCCAGGACCCTGGGTGGCTGTCTAGATGAGTCCCATTGCTACACATTGGAAGTGTCCTTCTTCAGCTACCTGACTAATGGGGCCAGTACAGCATTGCCTTACACTGAGGAGGCTTGTATCCTTCTACTGTCTCATTGCCAGAGTATTTGTATATAGTGTATTGTTTAGTGTGTGGATGTGCACACATCTGTGCAAATGTGTGTGTGTGTGTGAATTCAAGAACATGGACTATCATCCATCCCATCAGTTTCTCATGTTCTAAAATTAAAATATCAACCAGTTTCCAATATAAATTGCACCTTTCTACATATTCAGAAAGCTAAAAAAAAGTGACATGACTATGATCAGTTCTTGTTGAAATAATTTTGGATTTTTTTTTACACAGTTACACTATTAACTCCATTTTGAATTAACAAGCATTTTAAGTGTTTATTCAGAGCAAGCAGTATGTTCTACACCATTTGGAATATGCTCAAATAAACCCTTTGTAGCTGAAACAAAGGCATTCCAAATATTGTCAGACAATCATAAAATATGTATTTTATTTTCCCATGTATTTCCCATAACCATAAAACCTACCGTTATGACATATATTGCTCAAGGGAAAGATGGGAAGGAAACGGTTTATGAGGGTCTCCTGAGAACTAAAAGTTGGATGTTGTGGAATTAATTCAGGTCCTAGCATTTGCAAACTTTTGCCCCAGATTTGTGATTATGAATGCCCAAATTAACATCTCCATTGCACAAAGGATTTCGTAGCACAAATGTAAAATTTGCAGCCACAAACACCGCGCTACAAAACACGAACAGCAGGTCCACTTACCTGTTCGGTACATTTTCTACATGCTGGAGATTGTTGAGAGTGCATTTATGCCATATTAATTTGGATAGTAGATTATTGAGGTATGTTGGTTTGATTTGTGTTGAGACTTGTTTATTCTTTGTCTTTAGTCAAAGAAGTAGAAAGAGGAGAAGATGCCACTGTTTTTTGACAAGGAATCTCAAAGCTTTAAGGTGCTTTTTCTTGTATGTTTCTCCATATTAAAAATAGTCCTGGGCTGGCTAGTAATTACATGTTTGTGCACTGAAATCTTGGTTAGAGTTGTTAATTTGGGCATTCGTGCTCTCAAATCTGAGGCAGGTCATAGCAAACAGCAATAATTGTTTGAGGTCTGTAAATTTTTGTAGAATGAGCAAAATTTTTTTTTCATTGCTAGGATTTGATTTGGTTTTCCTTCACCTAGTAGCAAGTTACAGCACCTAATATCACCAGACTTAGCTGTACTAAGATAAAAATAGAATGATTATTTTTTCTGCAAATTATGTTGACCATGACCCCAAAAAATGTGTAGAGGTGAATTTCTACATGAACTCCCATAATGAGTTGCTGTTTTCTTTAGAACATTTATAAACAATCCAACACAACACCATCATAGTGAAGTGATTGTTTCCCCTTAACCCCATTCAAGATATGAAACTTGGGCGTAATCTTGCCCGGACATTCCTAGATTACTATAAACTGACTGGTTTTATCAGTGCCAAGCCCAGCAGTAGTATAGTGCCCAAACCTGGCCGCCATAGTGCCAAGGACAGAAACAAGGCAGAGAGAGCAGCCTCAGAACCCTTGAGGTACTCACAAGAAGAAAGGTAGATATTTTCTCAGGCAGGTACATATAATCTTCCAAAGATTAAAATTTTAAGTGAATAGCAGGTCATATGCGACTTGATAAAAAACCTGTATTTTGACTTAATAGTGCTCTGAATGCAATGCTCATTTGTTAAAAGATATATTTACATCCTCTTGGCAAAATTCAATCATTTGACAAACCTACTCAAGCATTATTTTTAAAAAACTTGATGGTAATCTTCCATTCAAAAATAATGAAACTGAAGATTTATTGCTAGATTTGTCTTCAGACATTTCCTTAGAAGATAACATCTTGTTTCGAGGTATGAACTAAATCATCTATCTGTCTGTCATTCCTACTTTTAGTTATGAGCAACAGGAGAGGGGTGCTTATTACACAGCCAGTAAAGGGACCAGCAATGAGTACGAATCCCCAGCTTCACAACGCCACAGTAGACACAACTGACTGTACAAGTTAATGCAAGCTGGTATATTTAAAGACATTGCTGCCTCTGCCTGGAAGGAACATTCCCTCTTTCTTGGAATCTGTCTGCAATACAGTGAGGTCATGGACCTAATGCAAACTGAGTGTTCACCAATTGGAAAAAGATCCCTTTTCATTGGCTGAAACAAAAGATCAGACAGTCAGCTATAATTAACTTAAGAGCAATTATCTCAGGGTCAGGTACCTCTGCTGTGGATTTTTTTCCCCTTAAATAATGAGCCATTTATCAAATTTTCATCAAGAAGTTGCTATTCTCAGCAAAGAAGACAAAATAGATAACTGAAACATAGGTCTCTGTGTACAACCTTCACATTTCAAGTACCAAGCTAAAACAAATATTTCATCAAAAAAAATCTTGACTCTTAACAACAGCATCAAGGTGCAGGATGAAGAGAAAGTCGTCTACCTTTGAAATGGCAGGTGCAGTGTCATATACCTATATGACTCTTTTGGCACCTGTCACTGGCAACATAATAATAAACCATATTGTAAACAGCAGTAATTAAATTTTTTTTTTCTTAAATTGATGCCTTACAATGTTAAGAGACACCAAGTTCATCTTTGTCTCTGTAACGGCCATTGCCCCATTTTTGCAATCTGATAATGTGTAATGGGTATATTACGGATATCAGTAATTTGTAACTTGGCACTCAGCCACGTCTTGTATGCTAAGATGATATACATGTATTGCGTGATAAACCAACTGTATGCAGACACCTTATCTGGTACTGGGGGAAATGACCCATGGGTAGAAGGGACTTATTAAGGCATGCAACATTAAATTAGCTTTAAGTTTGATAGAAGTTCCATTTTCCGCCGAAAAAAAATCTTGTGCAGTCTTCTAAAATAGGCAGCATTAAGAGTTAAAATTAAAACATTCCTGTCTGGGCTAGCTGTTACATTGTTACTGCACATTACCCAGGATTGAGCTGTCACAGCTGCGAACATTCCAGTTCAATTTGCCATAGTGAGAAAACAAATGCAAAAGGTGGATTCACAGGACCTTAGCTATATGAAGCCGTCTCCTTGCCGATACTAAAGCAGAGTGAAGTTGAAGGAGGTGTTTGTGTGTTAAAGATTGGTCATATAGCATGAAGAAAGTTTGACATGCGCCCTGTGGTTTAACTTGGGTAGCGTTACATTCAGTTTGATGAGAAATTTGGTAACGGTGACACAAATATCCAAGATTAAGTGTCACATGTGCAGGAGAGCCATGTCACACTGGTAAATGTAAATGAAGAGTTGCATTTTAGCAGAAACAAAAAAAAAAAAAAAAAAACATTCCAAAATAAATTGGTAAATACATTAAGCAAGCAGGTAACTAGACGTTTCTATATGGTCACTGGCATTTCATACAGATTCATAAATAGCTTGAAAATCAAAACTGTCTAATTAGATGTCAAATTTCTCAGGAAAATAAATTGCGCTGTACAATCACTTTGTATCAATATTGTTGATAGATGTACCTTTCTCTCATGTAAATAAATATAACAAATAAAACTACTGAAAAAAAATGGCATGTTCATTTTTTTATTCTATTTTGTTTAAATAACAAAAGACATTTTACGAAAGTTATACATCTCATTTTAATGAAAAACAGTTACTCAGTAAAATAATTTGCACTTGCACCTTTTTATCTTAACAAAAATAAGTGTACATTTGTCTTCAATTATCACAATAAAGTACATGATGTACACCAAGCACTACCCATTCTGAATGCCTGTAAATGTGATATTCTCTTTGTACTTCAAACAGGTCTAATGCAACCACTAAGTCACAGCATGAAGATGTTGTTTTTGGATGGATTCCATAGCAGTTCACCTGTTGTACTAGTTCACTTTTTAACTCCAGCCAAAACCACTCCACTCTGCACATCCCCTTAGGTAATGAACCAGCACCTAATGCCATGTCCTATCCTTCCTGTGCTTAAACATTTACATAAATATGTCCTCCAAAGATTAACCTCAGTGTCTGTTTCTCCCTACTAGTAGGCATTCAATGGAGATGGGAAAATTTCAATGACTAATTGTTCTTGATTCTGACTTGTTTTAGTCTCATTCCATACTGTTGAGCCAATACCTGGTGGACTGTTATGCTGAGAAATATTGTCCAAGGTTGTCTTCACCACAACCAGTGATCACTCAGTTAACATATTCAAAGTCACACGTTTCACATTCGTCATCCATTGCCCTTTCAAAGACTGTTCTTAAATATCTTTAATGAAATGAAACAAATGCCTATTTTATACATTAGTACCAATCATGTTCATCATGCATGTTATGATACTATGAGTGGTTGTCTCAGTCCAAAGCTTCCTGTACCCACATCCACCACTCTGCCTACTACCAGACGGGCAGACGGAGACTTCAAATCATCCTTGGAACCTGTAAACACAAGTAAAGCAATTAAATTTGAAATACCATTCTCAAAGACAAATAACAAAACAAATATTTGACTTTATACCAATGCTTGCATTTATACTTCAAAATGAAAGTGAGAAAGTAAGAAAGAAAGTTTGTTAGTGCAATAATCTGACAATCAAAATTTGTGATAAAGCATGTTCTGCTAAAAAGAATCTTGAAATATCTATTTCACATTAAAACCACTGCACCCATAAGCCCACAGCAGAAATATATCAGGCCCCCTTCAAGACTCCCACAAAACCTTACCTGAGATGGTGGTTTGTTTGAGAAAATGCATGGTGGTTTCGAAGCTCATTTTCTGCAATGGCGAGGAGTTGGATTCAATTCCCATTCTATTGAAAGGCTTATAACTTCCTTCAAAGGTCATATAGTCTGCTATAAGGGAGAGGTGTCGATAGTCTACCTGAATGCCATAGGCAGCAAACACATCTCTGCATTCCTGAAAAGCATTTTTAAAATTTTGCTTACTATACATGTAACTGGAGTTAAATAGTTTTTCACAATGGCCTACTCTATATATTTTTCAGCTCACCAAAAACCCAGATTTTGAGAGGAGGATGTTAATGTAAGTTCCTTATGTTAAGTTACTTACTTTTTATTTGCCAACTTTTTAAAGAGCCAATGAATTGAATATCAGTATCACCTTTAAAATAGCCCTGGCTGCAGCTTCTATACCATACGTCTCTGCTATAGCATGGATATCATTGGTGTACAGTCTGTCAAGGTCAAGGACACGGTCATACTGGTACATTTCCTAAAATCAAAGACCAACAATGATGATTTTTAGTAAAATCAATCAATTTGATAAACTTAGTCGAACCAGTCTTTTGCTCACTTACAAGTATGAAAATAATCTAGTTCTGGACTTGTGATAAAAAAGATGTACATGTGTAAAAATTTCAAGTACCTCCCCACCCACTCTAGCTTGAGAAAAACGAACTCAATAGCACATTGTGTCCACTGCACTGGGCACTTATCAAACATGATCTTACCACAATATTAACCCCCTCTGTCCTGAGGTGTGTTCCTTCTTGCCCTGGTGTTTTCACCTCCCCCAGGATTGCCCTGGTGATCCCCTGAACCTGGTGAACCACTGCTCGCCTGGCCTCACTCTCTATCAGAGAGGCCATGTCAAACCTGGTGTCTGAGAGGGCAAGCTGGAACAAGAGAATATATGTCTTTCTGAAGTTACTCATGGACAAACAAGAACTGTATAGATATTTTTTATCTAATCTTAAATAAAATTTAACAAACAAGAGAGATTTACATGTACATGAAACTAATGTGCCACACAGTGCCTGTATCAAGACTGCATTGATTTGGATATTATCATTTAAAATGGCCAGAATTTTTTACATATAAAATCAGAACGTAAAAAAAAATAAGGAGAAATGTGCACAGCTCTCATTTTGACTTCAACTCTGGCAACATGAACAGACAGACGTATAAGGGAATTTTAAAAATCTATTCATAGAATTAAAATTTAGTCTATTATGCAAACTATATTTTAGTATTATCACAAGTTGCTTTTCAAATGTGAGGATATTTTTGTTTCAAATCATCTTTAATACTAGAGAGAAGTGAACCACAAAAACCTTAGTTGTGAAAGAATAATCTGGTTTTTGTCTTCTTACCTTGAGTGTGACCTGACACTTCTCTTCACTGTCTGCATCATAGGTATAACTGTGTACCCACTGGTGACTGCATAACACAGCCTGAAACAGCATACTAGTATTATAAAATATAACTGTGTACTCACTGATGACTGCATAACATAGCCTGAAACAGCATACTAGTATTATAAAATATAACTGTGTACCCACTG